TCTTCCTCTGGAAGATGCAATTTTACCAGGTCGTTGTCTGTCCCTGTTCTCCAGCTGCCTATATTCATTGTGAGTGTCTAACTGTGCTATTCTCACAATTTCATATTTAATGAGGAACTTAAGGCTACATTCTATGTGGTCCCACAAGGCCATGCTATCAAAATCCTCTTTGGGGCTGCGATAACAATAATCAAGTAAGTCACTACTCACAGATATCTTCTTGTTCTCCACATACATGCTAACACTTTCTGTCTGATTGGCAGACATTAATTCTCCAACATGCTTGGCACTGCCTTCTCCTAGCTCAGAATGAATGTATTGGTCAAAATTGGACCATTGCACCATGCAAAATGTATGGCTCTTGCAGCAGTCACCTCCTCAAACAAGGTACAACATCACTTGTTGGTGTGACATTTCCTGATGAGCTATAATGGCATTCACACTTTTCGTAAATAAACTTTGACTTTTTACACTTTGGAGTGGACAGTCACTTCCCGCATATTTAATTTCATTTTGGTGTATTGCGTAGCGTAATGCTTCCAGCCCAACATGTACCGGTAATGTGCTCTTTGTGATATAATCAGTGACATAGTAAAACAGGGCTTTGGCAGCTTCTCCAGACCCAATGCATTTTATGTCCATGTGACATTTCAATAAAACAGCATCACATCATTGAAGTTGTTGACACAAAGGTGCAGTCTTCTTAACATTATCACGTAAGTCTTGGCATCAAGTTCTGTGAAGGAGCGGGTTGAATTGTTGATACACATTTGACAATGCTGATCATCTCTTGGTTCACCAGGCCGGAGGTTTTTCCAACAAGTGTCAGTATGTTCATGCCAGTTACAAGTCACTGTCAATTCACTAATGAACTGTTGGAAATCATGCATAAAGCTTTCATCATTGTCACACAACAAGGGCGGGTCGGCCAATCTAGCATCAATGTGATTGGAGGGACAGACAGGTTTTTGTATCAGACATTCTGCCGTTTCACTTTGTATGTCAGTGGTACCAGGTAGCTCGCTTTAAATAATTGACTCTAGCCAACAAAAAATGCGGGCATTGTAAACATTGTTGTCAAGCATGCAATCACGAAGACTCTGTGGATTCAGATTGCCCTGCAACCACACGAACATATGGAAATGCAAGGTGCCTCTGCCCTGCGCTTCTACCATGCCATAGTACACATCATAGCCAAACAGCCCTGGTTCTTTGCTACCATGTTTCAAAACAACTTGCAGGAATTGAGTCATGATTCAGTCAAAAAACTAAGCAGCTGCACCTGGATTCCTGGCCGCAAATACAGATCTCTGGTAGGTCATCATGTCCTTCCACTGCTCAGGGAGAATGTCACCCAGTAAATTTAGCAGAAAATGGTTTATGTCAGAAGGATTGATTGTCAGAAATAATGCAGGTGTGCCAAATTTCTTCATAAGAGCACAAATCTTGTTCCACTGCACTAGTTTATAACCACTACTGCCCTTGACCTCCTTAGCCAGAAACTTCAAGTGATTCAGCAATTGGAGGGCCTGTTTCTGTTGCGCATTTGAAGGGACAGCATGCGGGTCTGTCTCCCATATAGTATCAAGTCAGTGAAAGCAGGAGCTTGCTCAGCAATTTGAGTGCCAATTGAGATATTTTCAGCGGCCTGCACATGGAAAGTGATATGTTTCATGATGTCATGACATTGTGCAATGTTCCAACAAATGTACACAAAGTCAGGATCACATTGGAAAAGTGCACCATCCTGTAATAACAAATTGCAAACTTGCCACTCAAAAGAAATACGCTGATCAGGTCTTTGGTTTGACTCATGAAAGCCGCCTATACCCCATGGATCCAAGTGAGGGAAGAGGAAAGTCAGCATTGCAGGATAATAATCATCAAGCAAGTGCAAACCACTGTGTATTTCCACAAAATGTTTACCTAGACAAAATGAGCCAATGCAGTAGCTTTCATAAGGTGATAACTAAGAGGAGAGTGATCACCAGTGGTGTAACCAACCACTTTGAGGAGAAAATCTTGATCAGCATCTTTATTGGCTTGCAAAAGAATGGCATCATGATGATCCGTATAATCAGCAGAGCCGGATGCACTTTGTCCATTGCAATCATCAGACAGGAAATTCAAACAAACCATTGCTGGAATAGCCTCTGCGCTGTTGCTATCATAAAGATCCACCAGGTTTTCTTCCAACAAGGAGACCCCAGATTCTCAATACCATAGATTATGTTGGACCAAAAAATTTATCATAGTGGAGACATTGTGTTTGCTACATAAAATGGGACTGATCTTAGCAATGTTTTTGTGAGCAAGGACTGTATTCTTGCCCACAAACACAGTACAGACTGCTTTCTGAATATTATCAGTGGATGGAGGCAGCACACTGCGGAGGTGAACAGAGTCTTGAGGGATTACTGCCACATTACCTTGCACGTAGCATTGGAACGTTGCATAGTTGACAGAGGAAAGTTTATCAGAAAATAGGTAGGAGTGCACAGTAGCATACACATGAGAAACCATGCTCTTGTCAAACAATGTGGCACAGTCAGGTGCAGAAAGGCGTTGATGACCATAATACTGGAAATTAGCCAGTGCATCCAATGGTTGCTTTGACTTTGCAACAAACAACAACGACAAGATCCACAAAGGTTCAAATCTTCAAGTGTCCAGGGGTGAGTGAATGCCATTGACGTGCAAACTGGTGTTCCCATACAATGGAAGGTCACAGTCATCTGGTAAAAGATGCAAAGGCAGAACACTGTTGGTCAATAGAGAAAGGTTAACAGCAGACACATGTATAACATGGATGTTGAGTGGAGTACACCTATGCGCACAAACAGCACAAGTTTTGGGGATCACACCTTTGAGCGCAAAGTAACTTTGCCAATCATGAATTATCTGACACTTATGCTGAGTAGAAGCAAAAAAAGGAAATTTGCCCTCATGAGCATCACACTGACATGTATAGATATTGCGTTGTAGGCATGCAAACAATATTGACTTGCATCATTAGACAATATGTGAGGGGCACGTAGAATGGGAATATATATATGTGCACGTGCACACAATAAGACCTGGAATGTAAACACTAGGATACCAGAGCAAAAAGTAGAACAAACATGATCTTGAAGATAGCCAAGAAGCATAGGTTTTGTAGACCTACAAAAAATGGGGATTGAGTGTGCCATGGCCAGAGACTTAAGTGACAAATTATGACATTTGTTTATAGTATGAGAAAACATGCATTGGCCAGGGCTTGAACCTGGGACTCCAGCTTTCATGGTCTGGTGCTTTACCAACTAAGCTACCAAGGCGTACTTGGAAAGCATACTGATTGGTTGCATGCCCAGAAGGTCCAGAATCACTGTACACGAGTGCGGATCCCATTGTGTTGTGATATTAAGTTGGGAACAGGACAGGAATGGGAACTCACTGACTCAATAACCTAATGAGCACAAAGGCACATGAAAAAAGCGACCAACAGGATACAAAGATACGGGAGGAAACTCATACCCTTCAAACAAGGAATGGAATATCAACCACTCCTGCAAGTGTGCAGTGGAAATCTCTCCCTCCACAGCCACGTCTTGTTCGTGCTCAACAATTGAATAGATCATTAGATCACGACCACACAATCAGCTATATGGAGATATTGGGGTATTGTGCGGTGAACAGGATAACACAGAAGTGTATGTGACAGACAATGCGCACAGGAGGAAAGTGTCGGAAGAAAATTGAAAGAAAAGAAACAAACAAATGTAAACCGGATCACCGGCCCTGCATGAGTTGCAATGAGGAATTCAAGTATGCAAACCTGGTCTTGTTCGGGGCCAGGAATAAACCTAATCATGTGAGGTCCAGATGTTTCTCTATGGAACCCATATCAGATGAGAAAGTGAGGCCGTGTGGCTCGTTCCAGCTGGTTGCCAGAACTCAAATTGGCGGTGTACCAATGGGTGGCGCTGCGGCACAGCGGCATGAAATTTGAGAAAATGGCATTTTTCTCTAAAACACCCGCAAACAGAGTTCCTGTATGGACTCGTAATATGAAGAATAATAATTTAGTTTATTTTTGAGACCAACATAGTTATTCTATTTACAAGCCAACTAAAATACTAAAATAATCAATCAGGTTGATGGAACTCAAGAGACTCTAGGAAACAATTATGTCCTTCTTGGGTATTTAGTTGAAATGTGCAGGAAACCTACAGGTTTTGTGCAGGCACAATCTGCTTGGAACATCTGCGGAAAAGTGCCGCACCAAAACTGCTATTAGAGCTCTGAGCATTTTTTTTGCTCCGCTAACGTCGGACTTGACTGCAGATGAATGTGCCGGAAATGACCAGGTTTTTGCGACATTTTCATGATTCATACATAATCTTGGCTTTTTTGCTGTGTTATTCCTGGTACCATAGGTTACCAGGTCTCAGAACCAGCTATCGACACTACTTTTGGCCCCAGTAATTCATACCAACCATCCGCACTTGGCACATGAGCACCATCTCTTTTCATCAAACTGCCACAGACATAGTACCACAGACACAGATCTTTTTGTGCAGGAACAGTATGCGCCCCTCAACACCCATACTTCCCTTGCTTCCAATTAACACCAATGAACTTGAATGAAAATGAGTTGTCTTGAAAATACATAACCAATGCAATCAAACCATCCATCTTTCAGTGCCCCTTTGACAATTTGAGTGTCATGTTGCATTTTGAAGAAGAGTGTTGGCGAGGTCCTGTAGAAATCCTTGGTCGGTTTTTTGATTGAACCAATGACAATAACCATGCCTACTTTGAGTTGTATGGTGTGCATTACTTCATTACTTCAAAACTTGTAATTTAAATATCATCATTATTCCAAATGTCTCGCACCTCAAGCCTTTGTACCACATTCTTACCATATGATATAAACAAATGATGGTATAACTTTCGCCACGGGGCCAGGAGTGCCCGGAGGGTGATGTTATTATAAGCTTTCCGTGGGAATTACAGTTGGGCGTATCCAAGTTTACTAACTTGCAGTACTAACACCATTCCCTCCTCATATACCATATTTATAATAGCATATCCCGCCCACCCATCTCTCTGATACATGGGTATTCAAGACCGCACGGACGAGTTTCACACCTGTGTCGAATCTATACGTCACAGATCTGCCTTTCCCCCACGCGGAGCAGAAGTGAAGCAGAGGCTGCTGCAAACGTATGAAAAGAGTCGAGCAAAGAGTGATTTTTCGCGTATGGCGGCGGCTATTGGGAAGGATATCAGTAGTACGACGATTAAGCTTGGGAAGTTGGCGCAATGTGAGTGATTAAAAGCTGATGTTACAGTGTTGAGACTTACACGCCTACAGTGGCCAAGCGTAAAACTTTATTTGACGACCGGCCAGTGGAGATTAGCGTATGTTTCAGCTACTTTTTAATAGATAGGACTACATATTCACGTTGTCTTGCAGGAACTAACGTTCATCATCAAGCAAGATATTGCTGGTATCAACAAACAAATTGCAGTACTACAGGCATATATCAAGCAGAAGAACACACCGGGGTCGCAGAAGTCGTCAGAAGGGAAGCAGCTAGATGAACATACTCACAATGTGGTCATGATGCTCCAAAACAAGCTCGCTGACACCAGTATGAGCTTTAAAGACGTTCTTGAGTTACGAACACAAGTAAGCACTGTATGGACATTATCATGGAAGTGTCGCCAATTGAACACTATACACAGAACATGAAAGAAGCCAGGGACCGTACAGAAAAATTCATGCATACTACCTCTTCTGCTACCAACCATGCCCCGCCAAGTCAGTAGTTGTTATTCGCATCGTCCGTCCAGCCCCTGATTGTCACATCACAAGGCTCCCTGCTTTTTAATAACCAAGACCCAATGGGCGATGGTAGTCTAGGTCGTACGAATTCAAAGGGCAAAGGGCGAGCTCCGCGAAATGACGATGTCCTCGCACTCAACCATCTGTCCGCGGAAGAAGGATTTCACACCCAGACCAGAGGAGCATTTATGCAAATGCAACTCGCTGAGCAACAAGTGAACATTTTTTTTTCATTATTTTTCTCACCCTTTTGTCTGATCGTGGAATTAGGATAACTATATTCAATCGCGTTCTACGGCCATCGAATCTATTGAGTCTACCATCGCCGAGCTCGGTCAAATATTTACTCAACTGGCAAATATGGTCGCGGAGCAGCGAGAAACAGTTCAGCGAATCGATGCAGATACTATAGACATTGCATCAAATGTGAGTGGTGCACAGAGGGAACTGTTGAAGTATTACGCCGGCATATCAAGCAACCGTTGGCTGATGCTAAAGGTTTTTGGGGTGTTGATCGTGTTTGTCAGTCACCGTCTATGTTTCGTTGATACAATCTATTGATGACCTCGTTCACACACAGTTCCTTATCTTTGTCCTTGTCTCTTAGTTCGGACGCCGGGCGCCTCGCCTTCAGAATATATTATTTATTTACTTGGACTCTCACGACGTCTATCACGGCTTTTGAAAGGGTTATCATAGACAATGACTTATAAATAAAATACTGTAAAGATCCTAAGCACTATCACCCAACTGGTATAGCATTAACACCGGTTGCCCAGTCTTTGACTCTTGGTCTCTTACATTCAGTATCCCTCTTACCGTCACGATGTTGTGCCGTCTCCATACTGTCTTCAACTGTCCATGTTCTCTTCTTAGTTGCAGCCTGGTCGATACCCGAGGTCGTCGAGTACCGTTTAGGACCGTCCGGTCGTGCAGCCGCTCTACCATCGTTGGATACTATCTGCCTTCCCAATCGCTTGCGCTGCAGCCATACAAAATACCTCGTTACTGTACGTTCTTCGCGCGCAGTCAGATTAATCACTCACACGCTGCATTTCCAACTCCTTATTACGCTCCTTGACCTTGGTCAACCGAGTGGCACTTCTCCCTCCACCTCCCACCGTAAGCTCTACATTGATTTGTCGGCCATCGAGCTGAGAATGATGCAATTTGAGACCTTGTTGAAGTGCATTGTGATGACCGAATTCTAGAAATGCGCAGCCTTTGGATTTGGATATCATACTTGAAAATGGTTTGTTGTAAGACAGTTTGGGTGTCAGGAGACGGATGGTGGGCGGTGGATCTTGATAACAACAATGAGCCCAGACCAAGATCAGAAAAAACAGCGAACAGACCACAGGCAGCAAAATGCCCTTGTATAGCTTCCATTGTAGTGGTATATTTAAGATTTCCTTTTAGTCAATGAGCATACACACCACCACGACTTTGGGGAAGAGGAAAAGCTCACCAAGAAATAAAATAAACCGTTGCTTCCCTTGGTTCTTTGCGTCTTTCTGCTCTTCTCCATCGCTCTTCTCTACCACCCCTAAACCGTGCCCAGAATTCCCTTGTATTTCCTTGGTTTTTGGATTTTCTTCGCCCCCGCTGCCCTTGCACTTTGCACTTTGAACTTTCGTTTCCACGACAGCTTCGCGCTTTCTCTTCTTTGGTTTGGGCTCCACCACCATTGAGTCTGGGTCCTCCTTCGACCGAGGGCGAGGTCTTTCCTTCTCTTTACTCTTTCCAAAAACGCCGACTTCCACCGGCGCACTTTCATCCTCATCGCCCAGAATATCACCTTGAACGTCAGCCAAGTCCTGATCCTCCTGAACAGGAACATCATGAACGTAGTCCTCATCATCGCCAGCGTTTTCGATTTGTCCCTTCGTCTTTGGCTTTCCGTGTTTGCGATCGCGGAATGCAACAGCCTTTTTCTGCTTTTTGGTTAGATTCTGAGAGGAAGCCATTTAAATATAGCCTAGCTATAGGAGGGCTGCGTTTGGCAGTGATAAATAGCGACAGGTACACGACCCAGGCCGGATGATATTTTGCGACATTTTAAACTTCACTATAAGGTTGTGGACTTAGTCTCCCTTGCTTACCTAACTAATTCAATATATGATGAGTCGATATCTTGTAAATAAGGTCTGCACCCCCCTTCGGTGCCAATAACACGAATATTCTTTTGCACCTTGATTTTAAACTCAACCGCTCCGATTGAATATGGCTGAGCATCACAGTAAAGGCTAGCTATTGCTTCAACCAGTGTAACTCACCACTTAGCCTTTGTGTGAATTGTTAGAGTTGATAGTGAAGCTCTCAGATGACAAACAACACTAGTTTCAAAATTTTCTTCCATCCCAAACAGATGCTGAGCCATTGAGATAGTGAAACTGTCAGCCACTCCAATTAAAACGCCGCTACGAATTGCAGACACACCTGAACCAAAACATGGGCAAAAAGAAATGGGATATTCAAAGTCATATAGGTCCAAGGTGCTACATAAATTGTTGTAGTTATGATACACACAGCAAGCATAACCAACTTTTGTCACACCCAAAATCAATGAAAAAGTCTGAAAGTAGTTAAAATGTTTAATTGCATTTTGGACCTACAAGACTTTATCAGAATAATGTATTTTTGTTAACATATTTCTACATATTCACACAAAAATATAGTATTTATGGGAATATGTCAACAAAAAGACATCATTTTGTAGGTCCAAAATGCAATCAAATATTTCAGCTACTTTCAGACTTTTCCATCAATTATGAGTATGACAAAAGTTGGTTATGCTTGCTGTGACAATAGTAGGGATCATGTACATAACATTTTTTCTCTACAGTAGCTGTTTCAGCTGAAACCTTTATGTGCTTTTTCCTGGTGTGACTAGCCACAAAATGCCGACCAAGTTCAAGCCGAATGTGCCGCTCATGTGCCTTCTCTATTACTACCAAAGTGGGGGTTCCTGCCAAAGGTCCTTACTTCGGACCAGACTATTGTGGACTTACAATTCCCATGTGAAGCTCACTTGGCAGTGTGTCCCCGGTTATTGCGAAGTGACATCTTTGCAATATTTCTGGCGAACGTGCAATCCATATATCCAATACACACGAAGGAGCATCTAAGGACAACCATTAGTGATTTTAGAGTAATGGTGCATTGATCTTCTTGGTAGACATTTCTTGTATGTTCCTTAATCAGTGTAAATAAAATATATTCCATATACCTCAGAAACATCAGCTCTAAATCTGGATATGAATGACCTGCCTGAGCCTTTTGAATATTCAATTCGCGGATAAACAGAACTCAAATTTTACACATTGATTGTTCAATTTGAAAAATATTTTAACAACAAAGTACTAGCCTGAAAAATTTGCAAGGATGAGAACAAAAGAGTAAGAAACAGATCATGATGACAATATATTCAAGGTGTTAATTTCTGCTTGATTGTGAGCTGCCAGCTGTGCATAACAGCAATCACGGATGTACTAGTGTTATCTGGGAAGGCTCTCAAGTCTTCAGCATAAGTGTTACTGCTCATTGTCATCCACCACATAGCTTGTGCAGTTAGTGAAGAGCCCACTTGCACTCAACACGCAACCCTCACCCTCTCCAAATAAGCATCGCATACTGTCAGAATGCATTGTACAACCAGCCATGTTCAGGGATAGGGGGGATTGCTACTGCACCTGCAGCAAGAGTGGCATTCAAACAGAGGTGGAGACATGGTTAGAAGCTGTATGTCCTTCCAATGCTGTGCCTTCATGATCCTGAGCTTCCTCTGGTGCATCAGCAGCACTTGCAGCCAGAAAAGGTCCCGTTCCAGCAATACTTGCACTAGAACTAGAAGGTGGCCCATTAGGGAGACCATTATTTTGCAGTAGCATCCTAAATTCTATGAAAATTTTGTGCTTGTGGAAGGGTCAGTGTTATCAGAGTGCAAGATATATTTTACTTAACAGAAAATATGCATGTTTCTAATGATCTAAGCTGATATCAAATCCCCTTGGAGCTATGAGTGCAAAGAACTCAGAAACAGGCATACTTTCAACAATGGATAACAGGAGCTTAAAATATAATGATCTACTGGCAAAATAGAAACTGACCTTTTCTTTAATTTTTGAGCGCATAAGAGTTAACGCCTTTTTGACCAATGAGATTAAGCGGCCTTTGGTTTCTGGATCATTGAGGGTGCTATCCAGGATCTTGAAAATCTGAGATTGTTCTTCAACAATTTTCTATCTAATAGTTAGTGAAGAGTGAAGAATGAATACAGCAATCCACATACAACAACCAATGTGTTGACTAACTGTGATCCAAGGGTATTGAACTGAAGGAATTTTTTAAACAAATCTGGAGCTCTGTGGACCAAATTGAAGATATTGACGGTAGATATTGAGTCTCCATCACAGTTTTGACAATCAAGTTAGGTTTGAAGACTGTCCTTATATTACTGTGACCGTTCATGTTGAGGTATCTGACTCTCTTTCATTGACTTCAGACCTGAGGCATGGGGGCATACTAAACAGCGAACACATTTTGTGCCTTGCAAACACTCGTAAACTGTTGAGGGTCAAATTTCTTGGTTTGAATTGACATACATCCATGGTAGAAAAAATACACCAGCGAAAGAGGGCTCCTTCGACCATGATACTGCAGCTTTGGGCATGAATGGTAGGGAGTCAAGCTGTGTGCAACCTTGAATGCAAACTGATTTATCTCATACACCTCGTGTGGAATGCATTGTCCCATGCAGGATCTTTTTTTGCCATATGGGCCGTTAAGCAAACACCAATTGTCCAAATGGATTTTTGAAGTGCAGGACTCAACAACAGGAAGCATGTGACACTGGAGACAGCATTGCTCAAGCTCCCAAAGCTGCACCACACAAGCTTTTTTCTTTCCAAGTCCCCACTCTCACCGTCACAATATTGTTTGCAACCTCAGTCGTTTACACCAATCCTTCTTGCTCTCTAAAGCATAGTAATCAGCACGGCTACCCTTCTGTAAACCTAAAAATATCCATTGTAGGAGATTTGCCTCCTACACTTGCAGCTCAAAAACATTGTGAGATTACCTTTCCAATTTCTTACTCTCTTGCTTATTGTCAGCATTCTCTAGCCAGTACATGTATCAGTACAACTTCCCAAGGAATATGCTGTATTTGCCTCACCCATGATTCAGGAAAGCTCTGGAGCCACCCTCTCCACCAAACCTGCACCCCATGAAATACACATTTTAATAGACATTGGGTACTCTGAAGTTTCAAGATTGGTGATTAAATTGTTTCTACATGCTTTATTCATTAATATTTTATTATTTTTCTAGAGCCCTCTCTCTGAGAATGACCATTATTCTGCCAGCAATTTTCAAAGCCAGGGTATGTCGATTAAAAGTGACATTATGGTGAGTGTCCATCGCAGTTTGTGGTTAGTACTATTTTACAATCAATTTTTTGTTTCTAGTTCAGAGCTAACTTGGATTCCCCTGTACCTGATTATACTAAACAGCCGCTGCCTCCCAATATTGCTATATCATTTTTGCCCCTCTCTCCTTCCTTCAACTTCACTGAACAATCTTCCTGGGTAAAATTGATACCACATATTTGATCATGGTTGATCATATATGGTTTGAAACAAAGCCCTCCTATCTGGAGCTGGGGCTTAGATATATTTTGGATTTCATATGCGTCCGCACACCCTACATTCCCACAAGGCAACTGTCCTAAATGGGACAGCCAAATTCCTCTTGAAGGTCAGTTCATCATCAAGTGGATGTCTGGTATAGGCCAGCGCAATATGAAGGTGTCGGATGATAATGATTCTGCTTTGGTTCAATTGGAGGATAATGGGTACAATATTGCAGACAACAATGATCTTTTTGATGATGATATTGACCACAACCGTCCTGCCCCAAAATTCACTTGCAGGCACACTGCGGCCCATTTGTGGATTAGATCTCAGGCTCTAATCTCTCCTATGTATCCATATCCATTAAAATGGATGTCCTTATGCACTTCTTAAACTATATCATCCAGCATTTGCTACTTTTTCCTTCAGGCCTGCTTTCATGGTAGACTTAGACATTAACTTCATTGGATCACAGCCATCACTTTGTATATTGTATTAGCATAACAGACATATTGTAGTAACCTACCCAGTCCAACCTCTTTGTAACCAGTGATTAATGATGTGTGGATATTTCTACAAATTATCTAAAAATGATTTTGCCATATATTATTGAATCACAATCCCAATACTGGACAGACATTATAGGGCTTTATTGCACTTGGTTTGTGCTGAGGACTTCCAAACCTTGACAAGCAGGTCAGGTCAGCATCTTTTGGTGTATATCAATCTGACACTTGGACTCTTGGGCTGTGTAATGGTATGGCTCCAACACTGCAGAAAAAGTTGGATTTTACACAATCACATATGGTGAAAATCCAGACATGTAACACTACGGGCTCAATAAAATAAAACAGCCACATTGGTGGTTGTATCAAGGCCACACCAAGCTTGATAAAGCCACACTTTGTCAAGTTATTACATGCAAGTGGAAAAGAGGATGATTTTGCAGTGTGCAACAGGTAAGTGTTTGATTGTCTGCCATCACACTGGTACCACATGCAAAACACTGTAAATTTGTAGCTAATGGCAGGGATGTTACACTTGTAAATACTGAATGACCATGTAAAATATTCATAGATTTCTATCTACTATTTGCACTGATGAATATTATAAAAATTCAAGCCGCATTCACAATATTCACATGTCTGTTTCATGTTACTTCCCTCACCTCTGGTACACATTGTGACATTCACATCACTGTTTTCCATCCTGCACAATAAACCTTCAATTGCTCTATGGTCCTTGCCCCAGCATTATTGATCCATCACAACCTTCACACTTGCTCCAACATCCTTATTTTAAGACTGGTATTTGAGGATTATAATGACTTCACAGCTAACAGGAGAGAAACTGTTTTCAAGGAGCATGGAAGAGTATTATCCTCAAAGTGCTTCCATCTGGTAATATTACATGGAGATATATTCCTGGGGCTATTCTAGAGCCAACTGTATATGACAAAGGCCTCTGACCTTGGGTAAGTAATTTTAATGGGTTAGTGCCTTTTCCTGTTAACTATGTGCCATCGCCTCTGACTTGTTTCCAGTCCACTTGTCCACAGTTCAATAAAACAATGGGAGATTTACTAATTGGATCCAGCTTATGAGCTCCACATCTACTAGGCTCCTCATTTTTTGTGATCCTTCCAATATTTTCCAGAAACCCACCACACAACCAAAAATAGGGAGTGTAATGTTCATCAACAAATATATGCCAAATAGACCTAATAGTAGTGCAAGTAAGATATTGCAAGCATCATAGGCACTCAAGCAGAATAGTAAGTGATGCTTCTACTCTAATTGTGAGATTACTCAGTTGCTCCATAGCATCAGATGTTGAGGGTGAATGTGACAATTGTAAAGAAAGAAGGAGAAGATCTACATTGTTATGCCGGAATAAACTATGAATTGAATTGTCATTTAGTCACCAACTTGACTGTGAAAAGATTTCAATAAAAACTTTTGAGCAATTGAAATGACCTGACAATATATGTTACAATTAACATACCAGCACCTACTTACGCTTCACTTTTGTACTTCTACTTTTATTTTCCAAGTCACATGACCAGTCATGTGACCATTTACTTTACTTTACATTTTCAACTTTTCATAGTCACATGACCAGTCATGTGACATATCACCTGACCAGTGTCTAGACTCATCATGTGACCGGTCACATGCTAGACATCGGACTTTGAACTTTACTTATAACTATACAGTACCTTATGTATTTTAGTATATATACAAGAGCAATTCTTTATAGTGTGTTCCTGTGTGCACCAGAGTAAATAACTCTTGGTTGTTACAATACATATAACATTTTAATGTGAGAAAAATGATAATTCAAGGTCTGATGTTTTTGCGGCTACATCCTAAGATAAGAGGGAGAAATTCAAATAATAGTATTGAATTTTATTACCATTTTATCTGGAGAAAAAAGGTGTGTTTACTTTGTCTTTAGATACAATTTTATCAGCATTTTTTTGAAGGAAACATTGATATTTTCCCCCTGTGCTGGCTTTCATGTGTTGCAACATGGGATTTTGGCCATAGGACCCAAAGGTAATAATAAATCAAATATATGAAGTGCCATGTGTCCATTTGTATGGATGGTAATGTACATGCTGATAGAGACTAGTCAATTGTGACACCAACAATGCCATATGTCTGAGATATGCTTCTGCCCAGGAACATGTTGAACACTGCAGTAAGATAGGGGAAAAGTAAAAAATACTTAGTTGGCTTGAGGCGCTTTGAGGTATCGGCAGATTGGGGACTCCAAAAAGTTGAAGTCCAACACCAATTTCGACTCGCGTCTCTTCAGTGCCATTAATACCATTTTATAACGTATGATTAGTACAGTTTTTTTAGAGTGAGTGATTAAATGAAAAGATACATTTCTTTCGTCAGCGATGATGTAAATTGATTACAAAGCTGAAAGCTCACTATAGAATTCTAAAGGCCTATCTCCAAACATGACCAATCAAATGCAATTAATATGATTGGCTGGAGGTAAGCAATGACTCATCCGCAGTAGAAGGCGCCATAATCACGCCATAAGGCATTGACCAATCGCGTATATATCTCAAGTCACGTGCATAGACACATGACATTCCTTCTCGAACATTCCATAAGCGCGTGCCTATTTGGTCACGTGCCACGGTCCGGGGGTACCGGGCGCTAAAGTATTGACGCTCGGCCTTATTCGCCGGGTGTGCTTTAACACTTATTCTTGATCTGCGGTCATCTGATTAGATCTAAATCTTATCTTATCTACTGGTCTGGTTTATGTAGGCGCCGGGGGTAGATAACCGTTCGAACATCTTGATTTCGCTTGTCCTTAATTTGCCGGGGGACAGTATTGTCTTCGCCCCTGAACTAAAATCAAAATCCATATCCGAAACTACGAATACCATATGCCTTATTGCCAGACACCTGCCTTCCCTTTTTGGGTAAGTTAGGTTTGCTCTGATTACAAGTGCAACCGAGGTGGTCATTTCCACACTTAGCCCACGGCCCAAAAAGCCAGGGGGACATTCCAGTCGAACCCTACTAAGTTGGGCGAGGATAGCGAGTTTGCATTACGTAAACTAGTTGACTCTATCAGTCACGTGGCAGCCTGACACCGCCATCCTTTCAAGAGTACGCAGGCATTTATCAGCTTTCACCAGAAACGTTGGGCCCCCCTAGAGGGTCGTTTTAGGTTAGGCCGATAATAAATCGGGTTCTTACGCCAATCTTTGCGTGATTTGGTGGGTTAGATAAGGTTAGAGTTGGTTAGGTTCTCTAATCAGACTTTATCAGGTCATTGTTCCAAGAATAGACTTAGCATGACAATGTATGGTTAGGTTAGTGTGAGATCACGTAATCCCGTTTGAATATATAACATTTCAAATGCAGCGGATCATCTGCAAGTTTTACTTCATCAGTATGTCGTGAAAGCTTCGAACATCAAAAATAGTGTGTACCTGCAAAGCACATATGTACATGTGTAAACATTTTATCATAGGTTTATTTGGGGTTAATTCCGCGTACACCGTTCGAAGGTCCCTCTCAGGATCCTTTATGTTATCGTCTAATTCTGTGGATAGAATTTAGAATCTATACTCAATTCAGAACAAATATTGTTCCCTTACAGGGTTGTTCCTACGAGCGTTCTGCGTCTAAAGATAGCGAATTCACCAGTAGCCGGGGGGCACAGAGATAATAACGGACGTGGGATATATTCTTTTTAGTTTAATCCCAGCCAATCTCCATGCTTTCGAAAGGTTGCACTAATTGGTCTTCGACTGTATAGCTGTCCCAATCTACCGGTGCTTTAAGCTCTGGTTTTTCGCAATCAAGTAAGGCACGTTTCCAATCGTTGACTTGCTTAAAAAGATTATCAGTAACCTTTCTTGATACGAGCCAACGAGAATCATTTGCAAATTTGAGTTTCCGCACATCCGTAATGACCCGACGGTCAGAGGATGACAGTGCAGGGGGCTCAGACACTGCAAGGGGGAGGGCCGCCCACTGGCAGAAGCAAGGAGTCCATTGGATCAGAAGCCGAAGCCTCCGACCCGCCAGACTCAACCTGCTCTACGCGGGGACGGTCTTCACCGAGACGGACTAACACTGAGTCATGCACCACCACGTCATCGCAACCGGGCCGGTGCACAAACATGGGGAAACCTGGCGACGGTACATCACCAGCCGTGAATTTTCTACAATATTCATGCCAATAGCCTACAATGCCTTCTTGCAGTTCTTTAGCGTCGAAATAATTCCAAACGGGGTTAAGTTGGCTTTTCAGGACTATAAGCGGGTCCATTGCTGCTTCGTCATCTTCCCAGACTAATAGCCGGTTTATCCAACGCTTATTCAATTCTTCCGAATTAAGCCATTTCTTTAACTCTCCGTCAGGGTAGCCACGAGCAACATACAGTTGATAGAGTCCTTGCATGCTCTCCAGGAACATATCCTTGTGAGAACAGAGGGTAGCTAGCCGTGAGATTTCTCCTAGAACAGCCCCACGTTTCATGTCTAGGGGGTGGTGGGAAATCCATGGAATTCTTTCAAGATGATTGTTCGCCTTCCTGTAAGGTCTCCATCTGATTCCGCCGATAGAGTCTAAGTATATTTGCATATCTAAAAATACTTGAGACATAGAAGGGTACTCCCAATCAATCACACAGTCTTTAAACTTTAATGTTTGTACGAGTCGAAGAGCTTCTAAAGCAGACGTTGCTTTGACTATAACAAACAAGTCATCAATGAACCGTTTGTACAATAATATGTGCGGATCACGCAGGAGTTCGGACCGAGTCTCGAAATAGCGACCAAATAGGTTCGCTACATCGGGGCTACTCGCAACGCCCATTGCTAGGCCTTTGAGTGCTCGGTAAATTGTTCCTTGAAACTGTGTTAATAATTCTGAATGGGCCAGTTGCAGACACCGTTCAAAAAGCTGGTAAGCTTTAAGTTCGGTCCATTCGAGTAATCCGAGATCTGTCCGGCTGAAGTAGTGTTCTAAGAACGCTTCCAACACGATGTCTTCAGATCGCTTCACCGGAATGGACGGATAGTATGCCACTATATCTCCCGTCACTAAATATACTTGTCTGCATCTGGTATCCAAATGATCAAGTGCTATGGCCATTTGTTTAGACGAAACTAAAATGGTCTCTGATCCGGAGATCACGGGTTTAAGCATCTTTCTTACATACTTCGCAGCTGGGTTCTGAATTGCATTGTAGCAGGGGATTATTGGCTGCATCTTGGTCGGAGTCTTATGGATCTTTGGGATGCCATAAAATTCCGGGATCTTATGAGTGCCGCCTGCCGGCGTCTTCTGGGAAGTGAAGAACGGAACCAGTTGTTTTCCATATGGGCTTGCGCCCGCCATATCGCTGCATTCTTGCGATAGCATGCATTGTTTGTTTAATATCACGTTTGCCTCATTTTGACTTACGACCGCGTACTAGACAGGGTCGGACAACAGTGACAGACATCTTTCTATGAACCAGTCTTTCCTAATGACGGCTATTCCAAGATTTTTATCTGTAATCATGACCATATAGTTATTATCGGTCATGAATTATTTGAGTTTGGCCATGCGCGGATCTAAGGTAATTTTAGATCTATCTCCGCCATGTGTCTCGACCGGCATGGTGAGAATTGTGTTCTGCATGATGTTTCTTCTGATATCGAAGCTGCGCTCAATGTAGCCATAATATGATTTCTCGGCAGTAGTTCTAACATGTTCTACCTCGTAATCAGGGTCATAAGCGTCTTTTTTAGGGTTCACTCCTTCTGCTAATCCAAAAAAGAACCGCCATCTTAAGCAATCTTCTAAGTCATTGTAAGTGGATAACAGTAAGTGAGTGTCTCGTTTTTGAACGAATTGGTATTTCATTCCCGCACTTAGGTGTATAGCGAGATGAGTTGGAACGGTAACATTGGGTCCTAAATGTATTAAACCACGAAATCTGGCTGCCTCAAGAATTGAGATAAGCACGTGGTCTAGGACGATACCGACGGCATCTGGGGCAGGAATACTTAATAAAAAGTCTGGCCAAGTATTACAATCATTGTAAATGAATTTTTGTTCATCCCAAGTATAATTGAAAACAGTCCCTGCACAAAGTGTCCATGTATAGTAGAAAGGGTGGCTGGTGCGTGCTAAAAACGACTTCCAACCTTCCACCCTGTTACAACGGCTATCGAAGATGTATATTATTTCTGGGGGGCCTTCCCTTTGCCCTTCCCGTCCTTCTTCACCTTGTTGATCTTCCCCTTGTAAGGCTCTCCGCCTTTTTTGCCTTTCTTGGCAGGGGAAGGCGCTGCATTGCTTCCGCTTGCGCCCTCCGATTGGTCCGTTGACTCCCTCCTCCTTTTGGCCGCCCTCTTTACAAAGTCGATCTCGTTCTTCTGTAAGAGAGTGGGAAAAAGAAGTTACAGGCGGTCTAGATTGAAAATAAGCACTCAGACTTACCCTCTCTTTGACGTGCGTGTTATGGAGCTTCTGTATCTTTTTGAAGGCCGTGGAGACCTTGTGGTCTATAAGTCACTCCACGGATTTACTGCCGGATGCCGTCGCTTCTCCCATCGCGACATCGGCATCTACCTTCAACGACCACTTCTTTTGCACTTTCACCTCCGCTTTGTGAAATTTGGCGTCTGCGAGTACGTAAGCCCTCATCGCCCATGCTATGCAGTTGAGTTTGCACACAGCCATCTCCCGCTCTACTCCAGGCGATGTCTCCCACAATACAACCCTTAAGGGCCCTTCGATTCCATCAGCGCCAACAGTACCCAGAGTGGGGATTTGGCAGAGCCTAGTCTGCTCTTGGTTGATGACGGTGAACTTAGGAACGACGTAGTCGTATATGGTATGTGGTACGAGAGAGTTTCAGTACTTTATAGAGCTATATGAGGCTCTATAGATGGCAGAGGTTCTATAACAGGTTTGACCACTATAATAGCTTTATGAGTACTTATAGTGCTATAGAGCTCTATATAGCTACCCCCATTTTTCCTGATGATGATGTTGCTATGAGAGTTAAAACACATACCAGGATATGGTCTCTGGTGAACATTGGAAACATTCTCCAAGATAGTGGCTAGATAATCCTATCACAGACCCATATAGAAATATAGCCAGCTGTTCCTCAAGCACAACTCCATTGTGTGACATCGTAAAGCCCTTTTGGGGTAAGCTGGCAAGTAAAAGCTTAAAAACCTCAAGGCTGACTCCAAGGTTGTGCCGGATTTGGTCTGGATGTCCATTGATTAGCTCACAGACCCAGGCCTCACCAGTCAGTAATGATGTATGGTACGGGATGGGCACAGTAGTAGACAGAAATATGTGTTTATAGTAGTACACAACTTGTGCAAGGACGGTAGCGACTATGGTGAGGAATCTACATTGTGTTACAATACACAATTTTTGGACCTTTAAATTTCATTCTCCTCTTAACCTTTCTTCACACAGTGCCATGCAGCACTTTCCACTTTGTTCAAACTCCACCTTCTCGCGCTGTGCTGCCTTTCTTTATTTTTAGCTACAAAGTATCTCATGCAGTGGAGCTGGTCACACGGGCTACACCTATGACATCATCAACCACTGCCCCCATCAACTGTATAGTACATATGTACAAACCACCTGTAGTAGTATAAATACCCAATAGATCCAGGAGACTCCTCAGCGAGTCCTCCTGTTATTCACCCACAACTAACTTGCTCCTATCCTAAGGGTAACCACTCCCCTCACTACCTTTATAGCTTTGTCTGAGTTGTGAGCCAGAGTAACAAACTCTTGGTTGTTACACGTTGATGGTTTACTTGCTGAACTTGAGGATCTATAGCGGTTGCGGCGTGATGATAATCTTATCGGTGCCATCGCAAATATCTCTAAGCAAAGGTTCACTCGGATTTTCAGGGACAGTCACATGACCCACCCAAACTGACTTCAAATTCAGTTTATTTGTTGGCTGAATGAGGCCTAAGTGATGGGGATGTGCTTACAGCTAATTGCAGATTGTTAGACATGTCAGTAATTGCATACAGGCGGACTTGAAAAATATAAATTCCCAGAATATAAGGAGACTGTATCCTAAGCCTGGTTAATGCCACCTGAGCTAACTATTACAAGTAAGGAGGACAGATATTTTGTGTTGAACAATAGTGCCAAAGCATAATTATTGGCAAAACGCGTAGCACACAGATGTGGCAGATTGGCTGTAAGGTAGAATATAAATATGAGATACTGCTAAGGAAGGTACTCACTATTGAATGTCCTCCCAACCCAACCCCCAACACTTCAACAACCAAATGCCTAATTTTGACTCTATCAAGCCCAGTATCAATGTGGCCCCTCTCTGCACTCTGCCCACAACCCACAGCATCCTACGGACCTCTATGCAATGGCAATCAGGCAAGGAGGTCATTATTTTGCCATGCACTACCTGCCGCCTTTGATGCAGCCCATAGCACATGGCATGCAGCCATACGGAATTCCATCACAGCTGCTTATGCAGCCTGTTGGCAGTGCACCACAATATGTGATGTTGGTTGAGGAGCCGCCTGTCCCTACCCAATCTGCCCGTAGGCCGCCCAATTCAACAGCAGCTTGAGCCTGCAAGGGCCCATCATCCTAATGCAGAGCCTCGCCCTGGTGGTAAGCACATTTTCCCAACATGATATTTTATTTTAGTCACCTAGTGTAGCTTTGTATTTACAACCAAGGTTGTTGATGGTGAAGCCAAGAGAGACTTCAGCGCTGTGACCAACATGGAGGACGAGTTTTACAGCAAGGGAGCAAAGCTGATCAAGGTCCACAGCAAGGAGGACCAGCTTGTGTACAAGGTGTCCGGGGATACTGGAAAGCCATTGTATATGGATAATGAGCACGACTTCAAGGCGGCAATGGAAAGAGTTGCAAATAAGGCAAAGAATGCTTGTACACAAGCTGTGTCCCTGGAAATAAAAAATGTAATCAGTTCTTCATCAAGTATTGATGATACACTCACCATGTAATTGCTTAAAGACACAAAACAGGCCTCCAAACTCTACAGCAGCTAACAAAGACAAGAAGCGCAGCCGCACTGATAATGTCCCACCCAAACCCAACCCAGAGTTCACCTCGCAGCTCAAGGCATTCAAGATCCTTGAGATGTCCATCCAATGCAAAATGCAACATGGCCATTGCTTCATCAACAGGAAGCATGGTATGGATAACCACTGCCGCCTCAGCCACAAGGAGATGACTTTATGGGCTAAACAAATTGTGAGTTTGGTTTTGTAGCAGCTGCAAAAAGATGCTGATGTTAGTAATTAATTGCTCAGACAAGCAATGGTTTATGGCCCACCGCACTGCCTAGAATTTGACTGCACGTCAAGCAAATGACAGTGTGTGTCAAGCAGGTCACCCAATGTCCATGTAACAATCAAAAATATTACTCCTAGTAGGTCCCACACTCCAAGTACTCCAAGCCCTCCTCCCAGCACTCAGCCATCGTGGATGTGCAAAGGGGAGTCGCTGATACACTCAATAACACCTACATCGCGTGACACTTCGCCTGTGAGTGTAAAAGGAACTAAATATCCCAGTACCGGGTATGTTGTGAGTTATATACACAAGGAACTGCCAGCCAAACACTTTGATAGCCTATTAGAGAACTTGTGGCTGGCTGAGATTGTGACAATTGACCAGATCCTTATGGCGCTGCTTGGATCATTGAGTAAGGTAGGTGGTATGGGGACCAACCACGCCACCATACTGAAAAGTTATGCAAAACGGACGGTTATGTCAGTATTTGGGTTACATGGTAGCAAAGACGAGCTGGCTATATATCTAAGTGAAGTCAAGAGCCTCCCTGTCATTCTGGAAAAGAAAAGAAGGCATAATAAGAGCTTGGAGGTTATCGAGATTGGATCAGATGGATCAGAACTGGAGTTTGACAAAGTTGATAATGCTGATGATGCTGATGATGCCGATGGAAAGGAGGACAAGGACAGAGACAAGGAGGACAAAGTCAGCGATTAGACTTATGGAAACACAAACTTATCTATTGTTGGCCTATGCAATATATTCCCTAGGACATAGTTGTGGTTGTTTTAAAGCCAGGCTTTTACAGATGAAAAGGCCTCTTTGATAGGATTTAAATTTGGGGAATATGATGGGAGGTATTATAGACACATCCCCCTGAATGAAACACCAACATTAGTAGCAGGAATAGAAGAGGGGAAAGTACTTGCCTTGACTCTACTAGTTCTCAAATGCCTGGGACCTTATGGATTGTTGCGTTGTCAATCACTAAAACAGAATTGGAGAGTGGCCATGGCTGCATATGGCCTAAGACACCCTCAACAAATTCAGAAACTCTGGCACTTTGAAAGAATGATCAAGTACTTCTAAGTGCAATAACCCATCCAGCAACATGACAAGAAGTATTGAGTACCGTGTACCACGAACAAAGAAGTCACAATGTCGAGCACAGTGATTTTGAGGAGCCCAAGCATAGGGGCGGTGCAGGGTGTGCCTGTAAAAGTGAGTTTCATCTGCGAAGACCAGCTGATCGCGTCAAAAATGCTCCCCAACAAGTATTTTGAAGATGGCCCTGTTGTCTTCATCATACTTGCATGCTGAACGGGTAACCTAGAAATAATAGTTAGTATCAGTCAATAGGAACTGATTTACTCACCTTTTTCATGGTAAACCCTTGCCTCTGCAGGGTTCTAAGGATTGTTGATAGATGGACCTCCACACCACATACCTCCCTCAACTGCTCTTGTAACTCCCTCAGGAGCATCTCCGGCTGCCATTCAATACATCCTTCAAGTGACTTGGAGCAATAAGTATCAAAAAAATGAGCTAAAGATAAAAAGCAAAAAAAAACTCACAGTGGCTTCCAGACTACTGAGTTTTTGAGGTTGAACACTGGCAACTGGCCTTCATTCAAGTGTTGCTGTCTGGCGATAGGTCTGGTGAGTGTGCTTGACTGTCTGTAAGCTGATCCCTAGGTATCAAGCAATGGTGGGATCATTGAGGATAGGCTTGCTTTCCATGTGTGTAGCCAATGTTACGGTAACACATTTTTGGACTTTCCCTTTACTTTTATTCTCCGCCTTAACCTTGTACTTTAGCCTTTACACAGGGTGCCACACGGCATTTCCCTTTCTCACGCCGCGTTGCCTTTCTTCTTCTTATTTTTAGACACAACTCTCTCACACAATGGAGCTGGCCATGCGGGCTAGGCCCCATGACATCATCAGCCACTGTCTCTATCGACTGTATAATACACATGTACAAACAAAACCTGTAGTAGTATATATACCCCAATAGATCCCGGAGACTCCTCAGCGAGTCCTCCTGTTGTATACCAACTAACTCTCTGCATTCTAAGGGGTAACCACTCCCTCATCATCTCTCTCTATAGTGTGTTCCTGTGTGCGCCAGAGTATATCTTGGTTGTTATAGCCAATCATTATGGCTTTGCGCCCCTTGGAGTAAAACTTCCCTTGCTTTTTGTCTTTTGGAATCAAGGCATATGCTTGGCATCTGAAAGGGCAAAACAAAGTTGGATCAACACTCCTTTTAAACAGTATTTCATATGGGGTCTTTCCATGGAGTCCTGATGCTGAGTGGCGTGCTGTGATATATGCAGCTGTTTACATGGCATCTACCCAAAATGACTTTGGGAGCTTGAAATCATGGAGCATAGTGGTTGCTAATGTAGCCAATGTCTGATTCATGCATTCTGCAATGCCATTTTGTTCCGGAGTATCTGCAGCTGTAATTTCTTGGATGACACCATCTCCTCGGAGTTGATTTTTGAATGTATTGCCAGTATATTCTCCTCCCCCATCGCTCCGGAGGAATTCTGTGTATAGTGGAGTGAAGTTTTCTTCTCCCAAATGAGTCTGGAAGAATGTTTGGACATCTTCTTTCCATTGCTTGTATTGTTCCAGTGCTTCACTTTTATGTTTTAGGAAATATATCCATGGAAATTTGGAGAAATTATCTACAATGATAATCCAGTACCGAAAACCCTCCCTGGAAGTTGGTTTGATTGGTCCTCCAACATCTGTGTGCACAATTTGTATGGGGCGCTTGGCTCAGTTTCCTCCTGTGGACTTGAAAGGTAATTTCTTCATCTTTCCTAAAGCACAAGGTTCACAAAATGTCACGATCGTATCCATCTGACTCATCTTTTTTATCTAATCGCGAGATAGAGACTATTATCTCACCTAATCTAATCTCTCTTTGATCTTATCTTATCTAGTAATCACGTGACACATTAGTAATACTCATTACCAATCAGCCTCACGCATTACACATGTTACTTACCAATACGCTGCGTCATACCTCACCGTAGCCTCATGCCTTCTTCTATATAACTAGCACGATATCCATGTACATACCCTAGTTGTAGATTTACTCTTATACTTGCTTGTCAAACACTTGTTGTGTGATTTAAGTCCTACACTGCTCGGGTTACCGGCATAACAGCTAGGGTCTTTACACAAAACTCCGGGGTTCCGGTAAGGGTGTCTATGTCCTGGAGCTGTCTTTTTGTAACCATTCATTGCAAGCGGTCCATTCCAATGTGTCCCATTCTCCTGTGCAATAAATTTACATCTACTGCTGCAAAAGCTGACTCCAGGTTGATTTCAGGTTTTGCTTGGATGTGATAAAGTCCTCGCTTGTGTAAGGCAGTGAGGATAAGTTCCTCTTTTTTCCGAACTTCACAAGCATTTGACCCTGCTGGAAAAAGTGTTGATAACCCCGTTTTGGACAATTTGTGGACAAAGATGAGTGCTAACTTGAAGTTTGGCACAAGTAAGACATTTGACAGTGCAATATTGTAGTCCTTTTTGCCAACAGTTGCTTGTAGGATTACTGTTCAAATGCCAATGGCATTTACAGAGGATTCATCCCCAAAACTGATTGTCCTCGGAGGATGCAGAACATGGTATTTTCCTGGCTCAAACCAAGAGCGGTGAGGGACCATGTGGGATGTTGCTCTGGAGTCAATAATAATTGTTGTTTTGGTCTTATCGGGTTCCGACACAAGGTAAGCTTGAATGCATTTAGCAAGTGGCTTGTAAATATGTACATGTTGCAATGCAATATGACTCTGTTCCTCCTCGGAGTCAGATCCAGATGATTGCTCTGCCGTATTTGCCTTTTCCTTCTCTTTTCTTTTATCCTTGTGTCTTTCTTTTCCCTTTTTCCTTTGACTTTTTCCAGCTGACTGAAGTGTTCAACACTCTGAGGTGTTGTGTGATTTGACTTTGTGGAAGTCACACCACTTCTCCTCGGATTTGAGTGCTGATTCGGAACCTCCAGGGGCCTTTCCTGACTGTTGTGCAACTTCTGCAGTGATCCTGATCTCAACTGCATCAAAGGTAAGTTTATTTTCTTCAATCGTGTTGATTACCAATGACTGAAATATTTGCCATTCAGGAGTGCATGGGAGAGATTGGAGAAGAGCGAAGGCCATGAGTTTGGTATCAACTCCTGATTTCATTCCGGAGAGGTGTGAATCAATTGTCCAGATTTTCCTAATGTGGTCCTGAATAGGTGATGTCCCATCCCAGGACAATTTTGTGAGTTGCTGGAATGAATAGAAGGCTGAGGCAATGTTGGATGTCTGATGGAGTGAGACAAATTTATCAAATAACTCCTTGGAGCTGGTGAGGTCTCCAGTCCTCATTAGGAGGGCATCAGAGATGTGGTCCTGGATGATTCCATGTGCCTTCTTATCCTTAAGTATCCAGGTGATCTCTGGATCCTCTGAGGAGGTAGGTTTTCCTGGTGAGGGCTTAAGCTCCTCTCCGGTAACAACCCGGAGAACTTTTTCCCGACGTAGCTTTGAGATGATCCAGAGTTTCCATATCTGAAAATTGTTGGGTCCAGTGAGAACTGGACATGTGGATGTATCGCATGCTGTGGTCATGGTTCTGAGGTTGCCGTTTCAAATAAGAATTATTTCCTGCATAGCTTTTGTGCACCAGGGCTCATAACCCAATAAAACTAAGTGAAACTCAGTCGCTGCCCGAGAGGCTATAGAAACAACTGAGGTATTCCTATACTAAACCCCCTACTACTTATAATTGGAGGTGCTACTTGCTACAGTATAATGACTCCTAGGAGAACAATGGTTACTCCATGGAGTGGTGGCTATGCTCCATGGAGAACAATGGCTGCTTTGGCAGAGACCGGGTTTATCTGGTTTTGTCAGAAAACAATTCAGAGAAACGGTGCTTAGGGAGATCACTCAAGGAGCCAAATAAAAAAAGAAATAAAACTGTTGAGGTATTAATGTCTCTCTTTTTCAACTTCTTAAACTTACAGTTCTGTGCGTCTTATCAGGCTGATGGAGACTGGACTCAAGTCAATGACGAGGTTGAATTGGGTCCTCCAATCAGCGGTACAGGAATATTTTGTTTCATTTTGTCTTTCAACTGTGCCTGACAGACTTGAATCTTGACTTAGCAGAATCTGGTAACAATGAAACCAATGTCCAACAGATATCAAGTGCAACTTTTATTCAAGTTGTCCACCATTCTCAAAGTGGGAAGCACGACCTAGTCATAATTCCCCTTGACAGTGTTATCCCTTCAGCTGATCAAGGTAACCACAAAGCTGGACTTGGCTCTGTGTTGGAGATCAAACCATGGGCGCCCTTTTGCAATCATTGCCGACTTTGAATATGTGGAAACAGTGGTCAAGGGATTATTAAGTAAAGCAATGGTAAACACACAGTTATTTGGGATACATCATTGATGGGCAGATAATGACAAATTATGACATTTGTTTATAGTATGAGAAAACATGCATTGGCCAGGGCTTGAACCTGGGACTCCAGCTTTCATGGTCTGGTGTTTTACCAACTAAGCTACCAAGGTGTACTTGGAAAGCATACTGATTGGTTGCATGCCCAGAAAGTCTAGAATCACTGTACACGGGTGCGGATCCCATTGTGTTGTGATAGATAATACTAACATTACATTTCGGAACTATGCAGACATTGAGAAGACTTTACAAGTAGCATGTGCGCAATATGTCCAGGCGGGCAAAGACGACCCTCAAAAATGACACTTCTAATCTTTCTTTCAGTTCAAGAAGGCAACATTTCTGCATGTTATCTAGGAGAAACTCATTACTTCAAGTTTCAGTATTGAGATTCGTGGAGAATCTATCGCAACTGGATTATGGATGAGACATTAGCGCCTCTCATCCTTTGGCATCCTTGCTGCAAATATTATTGTCACCAAAATGGTAGGATAGTCTTGAAAGAACGCATATACAACAAGTTCAATACAGCCAACATATGGTGGGACGTACAGGTAAATATATGGTATATACATTTACATGCTTTCTGATGTGGATTAATTTGAATGCAGGAATCCTTTCCATAAGAAGAACCACCACATTGCTTTCTACCGATCTCTCTCTGGCTCAACAAAGGGAACATCACTAAGCGGGTCAAGAAGCACCCTATAATTATTCGTCCACTATTTTTGCCGCGGGGGGTAAGAAATGTGTCGGGAAATGGAGGGGGTGTTCTTGTAGGGTGTATGCCCATTGTGAGTGTTTTTTCCTGCTACACAGAGGCTTCTTATTGCATTGTTTTTACAGCCTTTGGACCCAGCTGACCCATCTGACAGAAACACTGCTGATACCATTAAATGGCAGTGCTTCAAGCGTGAAGTTTACCACAAGGTTGTTGAAGTCATATTTCACTCACTACAATGGCCTGCACACTTCGGAGAAGCAATGGCTTGTGGTGACAAAGTTGATAGAGTGATACATCCAGAAATACCAGTCAAGTCTGTTGAAGGTGAAGAAAGCTGTGTGCTAACGGCTACACGTGCAGCCCTGGCCAAATTTCCATGCCCAAAATGCCTTGTCTGCCATGTCAATTTAACCAAACTATGTGGAAATTTCCAGTGTTGCACAACTGACAACATGGAGAAGGTGTACGAGTGTTCAATCACAGCATCAAATAAAACAGAGGCTGAACAAATCTTACAAGCCCACATATTACATGCAACCAAGTTTTTATCCCCGTCTCTTTATTATCTTCCACTAACTAGCTTTTTACAGAACTCTTTTTGGTCACTCAACCACTCAGACCCATATTGTTCCATTTCATACAATAAATTACACTCCAATGATCTAGGAAAATGGGGTAAGCACATCTGGCCACTCCTCCTCACAGTGTTAGCAGAAAACGGAAACAAAGGCCATATGGCCAGAAAGTAAGTTTTAACTACACGTCACACTTGATGTCTCACTAAAACTCGGGATATATAGCATGCAGAATGTATTAAGATCGCCTGGACTCAAACACTTCATGAATGTCACCACAGTCGAATATGCGGATGGTCAAGTATTTTATGATATACTCAAGGTGCATAGTCCTTAATACTTTATTTATGAGCACTATACACTGACTTTTCTGTCCTTCTAGTGCATCCTCCCACGTATCGTCCAAATTCTCCCCAAGAACTCAACATTAGTACATGGTATCCGAGCCTATGCTAAATAGGCTCATGATTGGCCTCAATTGTATGACTGAAGGGAGGACACACCAGCTAAAACAATATATTATTCAATATGAACAATGTTGTGAAGTGAGTAGCAGTTCTACATGTGTCTTGATTGTTTCCTAATGGTTCTTATAATACAGCACATTTCAAATGATTACAAGAAGGACTTCCACTTTAGCAAGCAACACGCCATAAATCATATTCTCACAGAAATCCGGCAGAAAGGTGCGACAGATAACTACAACACACGAGTCAGCGAGGGCTTTCATCAAGAGGCGCAAGAAGCCTACAAGCAGACAAACCGGAAAGATACAGACAGCCAGGTAAGCAAACATATTTATGTGTACCAAAAGCCCGATGCTCAGTTTCCACAGATGGATTGCATTGACGAGAACCAGGAAGCCATCGCCCACATACGAATGACTGTCGACAACCATGATAAAGCCCACCATAACGACACTGAGGACCAAGACTTAGGAGATGACGCTGGCAGCAATGATGACCAGAGGTCAACACAACCTACCCCCAATAACCACTGGATTCTGTTAGAAAACGTGAGTTGACAAAGACAAGCACCGTATGAAGGGAAAGTATGGTGCAGGACACCATACTAGGAAAGTGTAGTGGTAGGATGGCCCGTGCGTTTTGATGGGGCAATTTACCCCCTTAGTTATACTTTCGTTCGAGTTTAAAAACCTTCGTAGCAATGATTGCCCACCTCAGAGCTTTGCCCACGAAGTCTGAGCATTTGGTTTATATTAGATCTCTTTGAGGTTATGAGCCCTGCGAGTGAGACAACGTACCCTGAAAAAGACACCCTTGGGGTGCCAAAGCTCGAGCCGGATGGCTCAAATTGGTCGATGTACAAAACTCACCTCAAATGGGCCCTTGCTGACCTAGACTGCGTCAAGCACCTCCATGGCACAGCAAAAAGGCCGATACCACTATCCCAGACCACTAGCCAGACTGCTGGCCAGGCCACAGCGACGACATCTCCTCCTGCAACAGTCAGCAAGGCTGATCAAGAAGCACTTGATGCCTGGCTAAAAAAGGAGTACCGCGTGCAAAATATAAATATATTAGGTCGCACCATACCTGATTTGACGCTAAGAAGGATCCTAAACAAGCCCACCGTCGCCGACATGTGGATCATGATCTGTCAAGAAAACGAGAACACAATGGAGCTAGTTCAGTCCAAGCTAAGAGAAAGGTTGTCGAACCTACACTGCACCGAGAAAGGAGACTTGTGCGCATATTTGGACAAGATTCACGTGCTATGGGAACAGCTCAGCGCAGCAGGAGTCCAACTAGTAGACAAAGAACTCACCTCCAGCATCATCATGTCTTTGCCGCAGTCATACGCCACCTACGTGTCGCACCTGTCAGTGTCTGCCCATATGTCAAAGCAGACCTTGGACCCAGAGACACTGATCTTGTACCTTCTCCAAGAATACGACCGACAGACCATATTCAGAAAACGCCCAACAGCAAAATCCGAGGACATCGCTATGTCAGCCACCGGAGGACAATGATCGTCCAAATGTGGAAGTCGAGGCGGAAGAGGTTGCTACAAGGAAGGAAAATCATCTGGTGGCAGAGACGACAAGGATACCAGCGAGCTTGAATGCTGGAACTGCGGTGGAAAGGGACACAGGTCACACCAGTGCCCCAGTGAGAAGCGTGAGCGCTCCACAAAGAATGAGTCAAAAGGGGACTCACCAGGAAACAAGAAAGAAGAGGGGCAAACGGGCAATGCAAAGGGAAAGAAGCCTGAAAAGGTGAACCTTGCTGTCCACGTCCAATGCGATGGTGCAAGCCTATCAGATATTGAAGAAGAAGGCGCATGGAGCGCCCTCACTCACCAACTCGCCATGAACGCGAGGCCCAAGAGTCCCATTGAAATCTATGACTCCAGCGCTACGAGCCACTTCACCCCCCATCAACACCTCCTACTCAATTACCGCACAATTGCACCTTACCCTATAAGCGTGGCGAACCAAGACTCCTTCTCTGCTGTAGGAACAGGGGATATGATGATTAGTGTCCCCAACGGCGCCCATAAAGACATGCAAGTGCGCCTGAGAGACGTGTTATACACACCAAATTTGGCCTACACCCTAGTTTCCATAGGCTGTATGGATAAGGCAGGCTACAAGGCCGTCTTTGCGAAAAGCGAATGCGTTATCTATGACCCAAGAGGAAAAATAAGAGGACGCATACCTAAAGTAGGTGGTGTGTACCAGTTGCGAGGCACAAATCTTCGCCACAAAAGCACCAATGCAGCTGTTGAGCGCATATCTGCCACTGAACTCCACAAGCGCCTTGGCCATATAGCCATTGATGCAGCAAAGTGCATGGTGTCGAAGGGCTTGATCCATGGGGTAGAACTCCTGGAGGATAGGGAAACAAACACTTTCTGTGAAACTTGTGTCCGCGCCAAGGGCAAGCGCGAGGCAATCCCTAAAGTGAAACTGGGTGAGCGTGCACAGGAATATGGCCAGGAGATCCACACCGACCTATGGGGACCTGCACCAGTCGAAATGCTGGGTGGAAAACGGTACTATGTTGCCTTTACGGACAATAAGACACGCAAAACACATGTTTATCTACTGTGCAATAAATCCAACATTTTCCGTCAATTCCAAATGTATGAGGCCTGGGTCCGCAACCACATGAATGCAGCAATCAAAGTCTTACATAGCAACAGGGGTGGCGAATATATGAGCAATGCGTTTAGTGACTATCTGAGAGATAGAGGAATTATGAGGAAACTCACAGTGCACAACACCCCCGAACAGAACGGTGTTGCAGAGCACGTGAACCGTACCCTACTCAAGAAAGTATGTGCCCTCTTACTTAGCAGTGGCCTGCCAAAATTCCTGTGGGGGGAAGCCATCAAACATGCATGTTAGTTGAAGAACCGCACCTCCACCAAGGCACTAGACAACATGACACTATTTGAAGCGGCACATGGTGTCAAGCCGGATCTTGCTGGCCTACACAAATGGGGCTGCAACATACTTGTGCATGACACAACTGGCTCAAAGCTTGAGAGCCGAGCTAGGAGGGGTCACTGGGTCGGTTTTGATACCGAAAGTCTCAGACACCGCATCTATTGGCCAGAGAATCATTCAGTCACTGTTGAGCGCTCAGTACATTTCGACGTCGGGAATGTTCCTGTAGATGCTGACAACAAACCTCCCTTTGGGCTTGAGGGGGAGTATGATGTCCTGGACCAAGCGCCAAAGGAGAGTGACATTGTAGAAATTAGTGATCACATACCTCATCCCGATTCACCCAATCCCCAAGCAATCCCTGACCCACTCTACCCTCGGGATCAAGATCAAGCTGATCCTGATCCCATCCTACCAGCTCCAGTTCTTCCACCTCCACCTATAGTTGCTCCGTGTCGAAGTACTCGCATTCGCCAGCCAACCCAATATGTTCGCGACCTCCTACAAGGAAAAGGATCAGTATCTGGAAATAACGGACGGACCCACCTTACCCAAAGGCATCCAACTGAACGTCGACGATCCGGATGGGAGAGATGAGGAAGAGAGAGATAATGAAGTGCTAAGGGATCTCGCCCAAAATGTAGCCATGGTGGCACGCATGGCAGATCTTGAAGGCGTTGAACCCAGAACTATTGAAGAAGCCCAAAAGCGCCCAGACTGGCCAAAATGGGAAGAAGCGATCAATGAGGAATTGAACAGGCTTCAAGTAGCAGAAACATGGACTTACATTGAGAGACCCAAAGATGCAAACATTGTAGGGAGTAAATGGGTGTTCAAGCTAAAGAAAACAGTGTCAGGATCCATCAATAAGTACAAGGCAAGGCTTGTAGCACAAGGCTACAGCCAAGTGGGAGGAATAGACTATTTCGACACATTTACCCCCATTGCAAAGATGGCATCACTACGAATCATCTTAGCGATGGTTGCTTGAAATGATTGGGAAACTCACCAGATGGATGTAAAAAGTGCATACCTAAACGGCAAACTAGAAGAAAACGAGGTCATCTACATGCGACAACTGCCTGGTTACAACGCACCTGGAAAAGAGACCCAAGTCCTACGCCTAAACAAGACACTCTATGGCCTGAAGCAGGCCGGCCGCAGGTGGTATCAGACTCTATGTGATGGACTCCAGAAAATTGGTTTAATTCGCTGTGAAACAGATCATGCAGTTTTGCATAGGCGCAATGAAGGAGAGCTCACCATTATTGCAGTTCATGTAGACGACATGACTCTCGTCACACCGTCAATGACTGAGATGAACCGTTTGAAATTTGACCTAGGAAAACTCTTCGAAGTTAGTGACCTGGGGGAACTACATTGGATGTTAGGAATAGAAGTGAAAAGAGACAGAGCACACGTACCTTATACATGTCGCAATGCAGCTACCTCGACACTATTGTCAAACACTTCAACCTAGAAGATGCAAAAATGTTAGCAATCCCAATGGTTGCTAGCACATACCTGAGTAAAGATCAGAGCCCCAAGACGCCTGAAGACTATGCAGAAATGCAAAACGTCCCATATCGAGAGGCCGTGGGATCACTGATGTATGCGGCGATTGGCACATGCCCCGATATCGCGCATGTTGTTGCAATTCTTTCTTGTTTTGTCAAGAACCCAGGTCCAGCCCATTGGGAGGCAGCAAAAAGGGTGATCCGGCACCTAAAAGGGAGCAGAGAGCTATGGTTAGCATACAGTCCGGAAGAACAGCCACTTACTGGATACACCGACGCAGATGGGAGTATGAATGAGACCAGGCGAGCCATATCAGGCTATGCCATGATGCTTGATGGTGGCGCCGTCTTGTGGTACTCGAAGCAACAAGAATTTGTCGCGTTATCAACGACAGAGGCTGAGTATGTGGCTGCAACGCATGCCACTAAGGAACTACTGTGGGCGAGGATGTTCATCAGCGAACTCTTCAATCAAGACTTACCACCAACCATCCTCCTGTGTGATAACCAATCAGCCATAGCGCTTTCGAAGGACGGTCAATACCATGCACAAACCAAACATATCGATGTTCGGTACCATTTCATTCGGCACGCCATCGAAGAAGGGAAGATCGAGATTACTTATTGCCCGACTGAAGAGATGACAGCCGAAGTGCTCACCAAGTCCTTGCCCTCTGCAAAGGTGAAACATTTTGCGGCTGCGTTAGGCCTACGTACCGCTTGAGGGGGAGTGTTAGAAAACACGAGTTGACAAAGACAAGCATTGTACAAAGGGAAAGTATGGTGCAGGACACTATACTAGGAAAGTGTAGTGGTGTTTTGATGGGGAAAATTACCCCCTTGGTTATACTTCTGTTCGAGTTTAAAAACCTTCGTAGCAACGATTGCCCACCTCAGAGCTTTACCCACGAAGTCTGAGCATTTGGTTTATATTAGATCTCTTTGAGATTCTAGGATCTCCTACAAACCTGACAAGCTCAGTAGTCATGGAGCATTGCGAGGGCCTCAAAGGATTCAACAAGTGTCTGCGGAGTTTCTTAGCCTCAAGTTGCAATGTAGCCGTTGGAGACAGTCCCATCACAGTAAGCTGATCTTACATATACTTCACAGCTCTAACATTGTTCCATGTTCCACAGATCAGGAAATATCAATGCATTTATCTCAAGTATCAATCACACGAGGACTGGAGCGAAGGACGGGACATCCTTCGCTGCAACCCCAATTTCAATAAAGAATCACGCTTTGACTGTGTTTTTATTAACACAGACACATTGGAGCCAGTTCCTGCTCGACTCCAAGCCGTCTTTCGATGTTTCCTTCAGTCGTCTTTGTTTGATATTGTGTCAGTCAAGATATTCAAGCCATCAAATGTAATTCCAAGGACCAGATGGTCGGGGGCTCTCTTGTATGATGAAGCGAGAGATTTCAAGCTGGTCATGGCTAAGTCCCTGATTCGGGGAGCTCATATGATTGAGGCTTTCAATCTGAAGGAGGGCCGATTTTATTTAAATGACTTAATTGACAGTGATATGTTCCTACATTTCGGGAACTGACAACTAGACTACTTGTATTGTTAACTACCACTAGTAAATAATAAAACTAAGTGAAACTCAGCCGCTGCCCGAGAGGCTATAGAAACGACTTTATTATTTACCTAAGTGAAACTATAATATATGTTAGTTTAAGGTGATCTCTAATAAATGTAATGTAACATACCTCAGCCGCCACCCGAGAGGCTATAGAAACGACTGAGGTATTCCTATACTAAACCCCCTACTACTTATAGTCGGAGGTGCCACTTGCTACAGTATAATGACTCCATGGAGTGGTGGCTAAACTCCATGGAGAACAATGGCTGCTTTGGCAGAGACCGGGTTTATCCGGTTTTGTCAGTAAAATCTCAAGTGTCACATTTTGAACCGTTGAGCTAAGTCTGTCTGATGGTCTATTTCAACCCATTCATGCTCTCTTTTGATCTGGTCATGTCTGGTCAGAGAATATCTGTCACTTGTATCCCTCTTACCCCAGCTAATCTGCCTGATTGTTTTCTGTCCTAGTTCCGATATGTTTTTTCATCAGACACAGTCTCTTATCTTCTTTTCCCACCTGATCCGCCTGATTATAGTCTGTTCAAATTCTGATCCGATTCTGATCATCAACGGCTCAGATCATCAGGTGGCCCAGGTAAGTTACAGACGTTCGTAGGGTCTGATCTGGTTAAACGGATTTTTCCGACATGCTCCTCGTTTTCCTGATATTAGGAGTCTGCGGCCGAACCTGCCGCTGCGGTATTACATAATTGTCAAAACAAGGCGTGGCAAGGTTTGTACCATGCCCATGTTTCCAAATGGGCAGTACACTTTAAGGGCCAAATTGTGTAAAGCGGCACCCATTTTCTGACTTCGTCTTCTCTGATAGCTATTCCCCGTTGTTGTCCGCGGCAATTTGGCTCGTTTCATGTTTCTTTAGCCGAGACATTTGCAAGTTTCCCTTCGTCTTGTCGCCCGAAAGTTGAGGCTGTCTGGCCTTCTTTGCTATCATCGGGAAATGCTCTGGTAACATACTCATGGCCACGAATCATGCCTTTCAGACTCGCCAGCACAAACTTCATTTCGAAAAGCTTTCTGCGCTCGATGTCTACACTGACACATACGGGTCAAATAGCAGCATACACAATGTCAACCCATTACCTGCATCACCACAACCCCCGCCATCTCATCGCTCTGTGTCCTCGCAATCTAAGGATACAGTAAATGTTACGGGTATTCCATCCGTGTCAATGCAAGGCGGAGTCTTGGTTGTTGGTGATTCCCGAAGTAGTCAGTCACTTACTTCTCTTTCGCCATGCACATCTTATACCCAAGTCTCCACATTAATCTTTCCCCTTTGGAACATTCACAGGTTCCGTTCGTTCTTATACACCCCTTAAGACTCTGGGTGATGGTTCTTTTGGAACAGTACTGCTATGTGATTGGCATGGCACACTACCTCCTAATACGCCTCTCTCCCCCATGCAACGTGGCGGAGGTGTCAGACCTGAATGGGTCGATAAACGCCTTGTAGCCGTTAAGCGGATGAAGAAGAAGTGGGAAGGGGGCTGGGATGAGTGCAAAAAACTCAAGGAACTAGAGGTATGCAGGTGGTATACCTGAATGAATCCCGATGCACTCATTAACACACAATGTTCTTCCAGTCACTCCGAGCGATACCATTTCACCCGTGCATCATACCGCTCTATGACTTCTTTCTGCTACCCGATACTAAAGAGCTATATTTTGTTTTCGAGTCCATGGAAGGCAACCTTTACCACCTTATCAAAGCACGCAAAGGCCGAGCTCTAGCAGGAGGTCTTGTGGCTTCAATATTCCGTCAAATCGTCTGCGGGCTTCATCACATACACTCATCTGGTTATTTTCACCGCGATATGAAGCCTGAGAACGTACTTGTAACAACTACAGGTCTATTTGAATACTCTTCTCTATCCCCTACAGCACCTTCAAATGCACCCCCAGAAAAGGATGTTGTCGCTATCATCAAATTAGCCGATTTTGGTTTGGCCAGGGAAACGGATAGTCAGCCGCCATATACAGAGTATGTATCCACGCGGTGGTATCGCGCTCCTGAAGTGCTGTTGCTGAGCAGAAATTATTCCAATCCTGTGGATATGTGGGCATTAGGTACCATCATGGCAGAACTCGTCAATCTCCGGCCTTTATTTCCTGGCTCCGGTCAAATAGACCAGATAGCACGTATATGCGAGGTACTAGGAGATCCCTGCGAAGATTATGGAACAGGAATACGAGGCAAACCAATTGGTGGTGGTCGATGGACGAATGGAGTAAAGATGGCCAAAGTAGTGGGTTTTACCTTTCCCAAGGTATAATTTACATGCCGTGTAGGCAGACATGTCGTTTATCTTTATCTTTCTTTATTTCCGGTTTTGCAGGTTCCACCCAAAGACTTTAGCACGTTATTTGACCCCACAGTTCCACGACAGTTAGTCGAATGTATTCGCGACTTACTTATGTACGACCCCACCCTGCGCCTGTCAAGCCACCAGTGCTTGAACCATCCATATCTGCTGGAAGCATTACACCATAATCAACTCCCAGGACCTTCTCTCCACCCTCAGTTAACGCCATTATCAAGGTCACCGATTCCCCCAGGCTTGCCATCTTCTCAAACTATGTCCCCAAGGCAAACTGTTTCTCCATCGCACTCACATCACCCGATAGACAGGTCTACAGACCAATCCTTCCATAATATCCTCCAACCGCATACATCCGAAATATCTCCTTTCCCTAGCTCACCTTCTATATTATCGAGTACCTTGCGTACACGCGATCCAGCTCTCTCTGTAACATCGGAAGGCGGCAATGATTTGCCACGATATGGCATTTTGCACTGTGTAGCAGATATACAGGAAGAATCGCGAGAGCAGGGTTCTTGGCATCTCGACACAAACAGGTCGGACCGGATGGCTACCCCTTTCTCGCAACCTGATAGTGCAGGATACTCTATGGATCTACAACAAACATCTCATGTGAGGCAGGAAGGTCCCACTCAATTGAGCATCGACCAGGGCTACGGGATGCATGCGAATCTTGCTGTTCCCTGCGAAACATCATCACAAAGCAAACTCGGGAAGTTATCTTCGCTTGGCTTTGGAAAGAAGCACAGCAAATGGGGTCTTAGCGGCATGTTTGGACATGCGGACAAAGCGCACCAGCATTCTCTTCCACCAGTGGACGAAGTTCCTACTTCGTCAAATTTCACACCATCGCTCAAACGCACCCAATCATCGGGTTTTGACAGTGCCCCATTGGCAGATATATTACGTGTGAATGAACCACGTAAAGATCCAAAACAGATCAAGAAGGAGGCTGAACGTCTCCAACGCGAAGCAGAGAAACAACGTCGCTCAATGGTAGAAAGAGCCCAACGAGAGCAAGCACGTGCCGTCATGCAAAAGCGTAGCCAGATGCTCATGCAAACCGTGGGGGGGAATGAACTTGAGTGGAAGTGGCAGCATTCTGGGAGCCTCCTCAATACAAATCAACGACGATTACTTGGGACTGAGCACAAGGCACAACAAGATGCCCCAGGTCCGATACAGCAAAGCCGAGGACAGACAAACATACCATGTCCCGTGCTGAATTCAACCTCAGGAAGATTCTCCAACCCTTCTGACGGTGGTCTGACTCCCAACGGATGGTGGAGAGACGAGCGAGTGTTCAAGGCTCGCCGTCGAGACTTCGATGATGATCATTCCATGTCTTCTTCCGATTTACACAGCAGCGGGCGATTATCCGCTATTTCTTTCGCAACCGTAGATAGCGATCCAGGACCAAGTCGAATAAGGAATCGACCTCCCCAATTCAGTATTAATCGAATGACCTCTGCATCTTCGTTGCAAGGTGGCATGCAATATGACGAATTTCCTGTGTCGGCTCGTTCTTCCAATTCCATCACTGTAGAACGTCAATTTGTCGGTGACTTGGATATCCGAACGTCAAGAGATACGACCTCGTCTTTATCGGGGACATCATCCCCCCCGCCTATCAATCTTCTTTCACTGTCTCCTTCACCACTTTCCTGGATGAATACACAAAATTCTCCAGAATCTTCTAGCGTCTCACAACACCCTTCTTATATCGCTGTGCCCCAGATAATACAATACCCCCCACAAACGGGTTCTCGCCAGTCTTTTGAGTGTAACGGGCAGCTATATGGGCATCCTCCAAATTCAGGGATTGACTTGAAAACGGCAATAAACCCAATCTTCAAAGTGGTGAGTAGTAGTTCGGCTTTCCGGATCTAAGATTTATCGCCTTTTAACAGCCTCCACTGCCTTCATCTCCTTTGGAGCACATGCCCCCATCACACGCCCTCCCACCATTCTCTCATCTCGAGGCCGTGGCTGAAGGAGAATACCCACCTTTATCGCCTATGTCGTTTCACTCTCCAGAGGATGACTAGCGCACAATACACTCATTTTGGCTGTATTGATCTACTCTCCTTGAGTCTAGTCAATCATATACTCTTATGTGTAATCACTCTTTACCAATTTCACCTTCCATATATATCTTATATGGTTCATTTTACTGGACCTACAATATACTTCTGTTATACTTAACCCTAACAGCATGCTTCATGGGACTTAACACCGGATCTGTTCCAGGTGCAGATTACGGTACCTTGAAAATAAGTGTTTTGGCAATGTTGCAATGTTGCATGGCGAAAGATTAGCCCGAATTGTTTACGATCTTGAATATATATGACGAGATAAGATACACTCATGTGTGACAAGATAAGCAAACCCCAATCACTGTTGGGATCCACTTATATGAACCTAACTTATATGCTGAAGATATTTGATATCTGTGTTCCGATTGGCTGAAAAAAGCTAAAATTGAATATTTTCGGCATATAAGCTGGGCTCATATAAGTTGATCCTGAAATCGATTGGATATGATCTAGATAAGATAAAAGCTATACTAATTAGCTAGGTACTTGAAAGGGGGAAACATAAAGGTCTCACCTCAGAACTCGTAGATGAGTCTGAGGTGCTACATGGCGACCAGGCCATTTTATAAGTAAGACGGAACCAAAACATTTTACTGATGGGATATATTGGTGCACAGGCCACCTCAACTTATACCCCTTCCTTTCTAGGTACTTTGTGCTGCTTGCATTGATCCTCCACCCTCTACATTGATCCTCTACGTCCAACATTCCCCCTCAAGCTGCATGGTCCCAAGCTCTTGTGCAAAATGCTTCGCCTTTGATAATGGCAGTGCTTTAGTCAGTGTATCAGCGATCAGATCATTTGTGAGACAGTATACCAGCTCAATCTTTCCTTCTTTGACTGTGTGACATATGAAGTGCAATTGCACATCAATGTATTTTGTCCGCGCATGATACTGGCTGTCCTTGGATAGGGCTATAGCTGACTGGTTATTGCAATAGAGGGTAGTTGCGGGTGAGTCACTTATAAACACTTTTTCAATGAACATCTTTGCCCACAGGATTTCTTTTGTTGCATGTGTTGCAGCGACATACTTGGCTTCTGTGGTCAATAAGGCCACAAGCCCCTGCTGTTTGGAGTACCAAAATACTGACCCTCTGTTCAGCATCACAGTATAACCTGAGATTGCCCTGTGATTGTTGTTCATCCTGCCATTGGCATCACTATAGCCTATAAGGTTGGTTTGTTCAGGTCCATACATTAGCCAGAGCTCACAAGTCCCCTTTAGGTATCTGATTATTTGCTTTATGGCCTCACAATGGGCCCTACCAGAGTTTTTGACAAATCGGGAAGTGATTGCTATGATGTGAGCAATATCAGGTTGCGTCCCAATCACAGCATACATCAGCGAGCCAACTGCTTCACAATCTGGAGTCGTTGGCCCTTGATCTTTGCTTAGGTATGTGTTTGCAACCATGGGTATACATAGCTAACATTTTTGCCTATTCTAGGTTGAATCAAGCAATGATGGAATTAATGTATGCTTGATGGAATAAGCTAATGGTGCAAGCATCTCAATCTTGCTTTATTTTAATCCCTAACGTCCAGTGTAAGTCACCAAAATTGCTTACTTTGAAGAGGGAACCAAGGTCAGCCTTCTGTAAGGCAACATTAAACTATAACAAAACAATACCCATCTCCGACTGCACTTGCAGGGAGTAAGAGGTACAATGAGTTTGAGATCAACAGATGCTAGAGATTATAGCAGGTAGAGGACTGATAGTAAACTCAAAGGTTTCTGATGAGGAGTAAAGCGGGTAATTCAAGTAATAAAAAGCTAAAGAACGATATATGAGTATGTAGGGTTTTTATAGCTAATTGTCTATTTCTCAGACCGGAAGTAGAATAAAAGAAAAGTAGTCTGAGGATGAAACTATCCAATAAGAAAAAGAATAACTATCATACAACTTCAGGGATTAATGAGCAGGTGAGAGAATGTACCAATAATAAGTATTGTCACACATGTTCAGGAACTGTATCCTCATGATGAGGTACAATCCTGACTAAAGTGTCTATTAATATCTCCAGGCACTGATGGGACTTGGAGCTGGTTGGCAAGATCTCTACCACCAGTCCTTACCCATTGTGCTGGCTGGCTGGGAGTGCTACATCAGGAAAAATGGGGGTAGCTATATAGAGCTCTATAGCACTATAAGTACTCATAAAGCTATTATAGTGGTCAAACCTGTTATAGAACCTCTGCCATCTATAGAGCCTCATATAGCTCTATAAATGCTCTTATAGATGTTGGAAATTGTTGTGTGGCTGATTGAAAAAAATAAACACAAACAGGAGTTAAACTCTCAACCTGCTAGTCAGCTCTTGGGTGACTAAGCAACCTACAGCCACACATCACATTTATCCACTACACCATGAGAGCTTATAAAATGTATTATACAGGTTATATATATCGACCTTTCATAGACTTAGATTATTTTTTTACTCATTGTCACTACTTATATTTGGATAAATCATTATTCTTATTTTGTGAGTATCAGGGATACAAACTACTATTTCACTAATATAGGCTACATAATTAATTAATACTGGATGATTTATTAGCCCTTTTAAGCACCTTGAACTATATTATAACTATGACCTTTACAGCTATAGGAGCTATGTAGGCTGCTATAGGCTATAAGAGCACTTATAGTATCTTGCCTATAATAATATACTTGACTCCAAACACTTTTGGCCTCTTTCTATTATTGAACAAGTTTATTAGATTCATCCAGAGTTTGAGGGAATTATAGATACTTCTCCCCTTGGTTAAAATTTTGCCTACTACTGTGCTATAAAAGCTATAAGAGCTATGATTGCACTGATAGTACTATAGTTTCTATGAATGCATTTATATATATAGGTGGTGGCTATATAGCGCTATATAGCAAAAGGGTTTTTCCTAATGTATCCAGTCTCTGATCTGCGATATGAAGTGGTAACAATGGCTAAAAAAGCCTGTGAGGGCTATGAGAAGCAAAATAGCACAGAATACCTCTAGCCCTAGAGCTGGAGGTGTAATAGGGAAAGTGTCTGAGAGCCAAGACATGGAACGAAAAGATAAGACAATAAGAAAATATAAATGGTCCTTACACCTTCAAATGGGTTATTAAGGTTGTAGATGGTGTAATGAGAGTCATGTTGTCAACATAAACAGCTATAATAGTGAGCGTGTCGCGTTTCTGTCTGTCACACCAAGCATAACCGACTTTTGTCACACCCAAAATTGATGAAAAAGCCTGAAATTAGTTAGAATATTTGATTGTATTTTTGCATGTACAAGATTTTGTCAGAATAATGTATTTTTGTTGACAAAGTTTTATATTTTCATGCAAAACATATTATCAATGGAAATATGTCAACAAAAATACATTATTCTGACAAAATCTTGTATGTGCAAAAATACAACCAAATATTCCAACTACTTTCAGGCTTTTTCATCAATTTTGGGTGTGACAAAACTTGGTTATGCTTGGTGTGTATAGAAGACCACATTGTCTGTCTCTGATTGTTTGAGGCCTATTTTTATTAGGCTGTTGCATAACATGTTGTACCAGCACCTACCAGCTTGTTTCAAGCCATACAAGGTCTTATTGAGACATAGCACCTGGGATTCTTTTCCTGGGGGAGTGTATCCAGGGTGGTGTCACATATATATCACTCAGACTTTTCCCTTCTTATTTTTATGCTCATTTCCAGGATAGTTACACCTCAGTTTGTATTGCACAAAACTAAGGTTAACAGATACAGCCTCTTTTGTATCTTCATTTACTTATTATGCTTCAGTATTGATTTCTTAGGTACAGCATAATAAACTGAGTTTGTATTGCACAAAACTGAGTATTGATTTCTTAGAGAGACTTGGGTAAAAGGTGGAGGAGCTTATTGACATTTGAACCGCAGGAACGGAGTACAGGAGCTATGACTTATATACTATCAGAGGGAGTGGAGTTTGTAAGGAGTAAGGATTAATGTAGGTATAGAGTTCCATGCAGACAACTATTTAGCGAGGAGAAATCATATCTGAGGGGAGTGTACCATAAGGTCTAAATATAGAGTCCATAAAGAATATGAGAACATACAAAGGAAATGTATGGTGGACTGAAAGTCCATGGCAGGAGAGTTGGAGCGGATATCCGGAGTACCATGTGGGGATGAGGTACAGGGCTATGCTGAATGACAGAGTGCAAGGGGCACAATTCTGAGAATGCTGAAGATTCAGGTGTTTGGACTTGGGGGTTTCTAACTGCTTGGAGGTCCGGAAACCATAGCCTGCCTGTGGCATGGATATGACACTACTATTACTATGCTACTCACTAGCAGATCCCAAGAGCTCCCAATCTGATCCATCAATATTATTATTAACTGTTATGTTCCACATTTAAGCTATACTAGTAGTAGTACTATCATTGCCATCAACTTGCAGAATCCGGACTTGGATGACCCCAGGCCCATGCTGCAAATTTGAACACATGGTCTCTTTGAACTCAAACTCAAATGCCTGCTCTCAAAAATTCTCACCAACCAAAGTTTGCTCTGAAGTTCCTTCCCACAAGCTATGTCTTTGTGCAGTGTACCAAAACCTTCTACTAGTGCAAGCTGATACACTAAATTAACTGCATTTTCTTGAGCATCTGCTAATTGTTGGATTTTCAAAGCAAGTTGACATTTTAGACTTGGTATTATATTCTCCAGATGCTAACCTTTGCCAAGGTGGCGGCTCCAGTAGCCACACTTGATGCAATGAACTCCTGGTATGATCCATATCAGACACCTGGCCAGCATAGTTGTTACAATAACACAATTCTCAAACCTTTAAATTTCATTCTCATCTTCAACTTTTTTTTGTAGTTTTCACACCCTGTGTAGTGTTGCCACGGTCTTGGCTAAAATTGGCTTTGTAACCAAGCTGAACTGTTATGTCATATGACTGGACTGAGCTGTGACTGCTATGAATCACGTGGCTATAGATGGTTATCACATGATATTAGCTGGCTTGCAGGCCTAGCAAGCCTTTAGAAGGCTATGTCATAAAGTTTGTAATTATTTTTGCATTATAAAGCTCAGATATACCTTGACAAAAAATTTCCATTTTTAGTGATGAAATCTGACCTTTGGATCTACAATGATACAACGCTGGAACTTACTGCTCTAAGAAAGAGTGGCATCATTGGATACAAATAGTGAATGCATATTATGTATATTATAGTGGTACTTCACCTATTTTAATCATTTGCCAATAGCAGAACCAGCCTCCTGCAAAAATGGTTAAAGTACTGAGTTTCCTAATACAGTAGTGTTTGTTTGGCAATAGCTTCTAATCCAAGCAAACCAAGTTTGAATCTCAGAAAAATCTTCAAGAGTAATTTGAAGTCACGATCAACCACAGGATATGGAAGTGGACCAAGGTTTCCAGTGTATCAAACACTTCAAAGTACAACACAGCCATATATTATATTCAAGTCGTTAACTTTAACTGACACAAATCTAGCATCAATCTTATAAACAATCTCTCAAAAAAGTTCATGTACCTTCGGCTCTCACCTTGTCAAAATTTGATCATGAACTTCAAGTGGGACCTTCTAGTTGTCATATTTCTCCCCATTTATTAACATGGATGTTCTATGATAGGATAATCAGTCGCATTTCTTTGAAACCCTCCAGCACTGGTGGCAACTCAATTTTTCCCCCAGATTCCCAAATTTGCGAAGAAGGCTGATCCACTTTCCATGTTGATGCCCCTTTTGTTGCACAACTGGAAAGAAATTGTAGATGTTTAAATAGAAACAGTAAAGAGCTCCGATGATGAAGCTTTAAAAGCCCTCCACAAGTACGAGTGTTGATATACTATCCTATGTCCCCCTTCTTAACTTGCTTCTAGTCTACTACAAAAACTAGCCCACAATCTTTGTACCACAATTTCTCCCGTTTATCCTAATTTATTTCAGCTTCTTCTTGAGCTGCTATCTCGCTCTTTATCAGCTCCTGATTTGACCTCACTCCTTACTAAATTGTCTGCACTCTTTAAATATTTACTCCTACCATCAGTCAAATTAGATCTCTTGGAAAAATAGTGGGCCTCCATCCGTGCCGTTTTACCAAAATGTGATAACGAGGTACAGCGGGCTACAGCTGAAGTTTGGGGGACAGTTCTACGAAGATTGAAGACCACTGCACAAGAGGAAGCAGTCATGCTGATGGTGCAGAGTCTGATTGGCATTGAAGATGCTTGCGCATGGACTTTGATCTTTGTGTGCAAGGTAAATATCACTTTTTTAGTTGTGAGATAAATGAACTGACTTGTCTCTACAGTCTGTTTCACAAACACTGCACACTGTGACAGTGTCAGTTATCACTCCCTTGTTTGCTTATCATTTAACACACGATGCACCTGATGCTACAAACGGTATTCTTCATTTGTTTTGTGCGTCAAGGCTCGAGGGTACTACGTAAGTTAATCTATCCTGTCCTATGAACTTAACTAAAAGCTTCTCTGTTGCAGCATCTCACTTATCCCAACCGACCTCTGAGCTTGCTACACTACCACTATCACATAACATTCACCCTCCGCTTCTTACCTTTGCTACATCTATCCTCCTTGCTGGCGATATGTTGCTTTCCACCGGAACAGGTCATGCTTTTCTCCTGCGCTCTTTTGAAGCACCTTCACTTAGTATTCATCTCTGTGGCATTCTCTCAGAACTCGGGTGGGGAGGATAGAAACTTGGACTTCCTGCAGTCCTCAAAGCTACACCTGCATTGCTGGAGCATGAACTGAAGCTGAATTAGTGCTACTGCAAGCAAGGTACCTTATTTCTTCTCTGCCATTGCTTTGTGTACTGACAACTAACTTACAGTCCAACAAACAAACCAGTGTTCTCATTCTTAGGAACTTACACACCCCTCAAAGTAACCCTCATTTTGCACTTTTGATTCTCCCCAGGATTTTGGCCTCTTTGTTCTTTGAGGCTTCACCGAGAGAGCAAAATGTTGCTATTCGGGTTGCAAATATTTTCTTTTTCTTTCACAGTCTCCAGAACGGTAACATCTTGGTGTCACTCATATGCTTCTCTTCTTTGTCACTCAGTGGCCCCTTCACTTTGCAGTCCAAATTATGCTCTAAAGCCAAATCAATAATCCTACTCCAAAATTGAAAGCCAGCACATCACACCTTTCTTTGAGCGGTCCGCTTGTCAAACTTAAATGGCATTCCAAGGTCCTTCAGAAGTCTTCTCTATGTGTACAACTTAATGGTTTGATCTGATCATCAAAACCACCCTTGCCCAAGGCTAGTATGGGTGTAAAGTGGGCTAGAGTACAATGCAGAGACTTGGAATCTTGAGTTTCTCAGTTTCTGTCCTGTTTCTCAAATCATACTCCCCAAGGCATGACACTTTTGATTTTTGGTGTTCAAATACTGCCATCCCATTTACATCTCACTATTTCTCCAACAAAGCAGGTTCAGTGTCTTGAAAAACCCTTGGAATCATCAAAAAGCAGCTCAAGTTTTATAGCCCACAACTCTTATGACAGTACCCTTGCTGTTCAAGGTTATCCATTATCAACATGGCAACTGCTATTTGCGCATATCAGGTAAGGATCTCAGTTGTTTGCGGCAAGATGCACATCCCAAATATCTACCTGACAAGTGCCGCGATGACCCTGTTTCTTGCTACAACTGATTTGGTTGGTTTTCCGCTTAATTTCACTTACCATTTTCTGACTGAGATCTACATTAGACTATTGTATCAACCAGCTTGCCAACAATTACTAATGGTCTTTGAGCTTTGCAAAGCCAATACACCTGGGTTGGTGTCGCATATATGCTCACTCAGACGGCTTGCCAGTTGTTATATGGAAGAATATCTGATTTGATTGGCCAAAAGGTGCGTCTATAAGATTTGAATTGTGTAGATCTTGACCTTCAATCGCGATATAGAACCTTTTATACTCGAGCATGGTTATATTTGCAACAGGATCTTTACTCTGTGGCGTGACAAAGGTACTTAACTGTACATATCTTTTCTGAAATCTTTTTTATCTTCTAATCTAGTCAATATTGTGGCTTATAATTGCACGGGGTGTGGCTGGCTTGGGTGGGGAGGAATTGTTAGTTTGGTATGGGTTATCACCTCAGAAATTGTCGAGCCACAAAATAGAGCCAAGTGGTTGCAAGCTCTTAGTGTCACCTGGAGTTGTTCCGCTATTGCAGGGCCTTTGTTAGGGGGGTTTTTCAGCAGTATGTATATACTCTTGTTAAAATGCTCTTACTGATAATACCAACACAGGTAGCTCATCAACAATTAGTTGGAGATGGGCTTGTGAGTATAGCTGGTTCCAACCTTGCTTATATTTTTGCCGCAGTCTATCTTAATTTACCTGTTTGTCTGATTTGCATTTGTTATCCTTTCAATGTCATTACGGCATGTTCCACTTGGGCGCTGACAATGCTCCCTGGAGATCTGCTGGGACTTTCTATTTGGCGCTATATTATCAGGTCCATATATTATCTTTTATATCGCTATTAGAAGCTTGCTGATTTTTGTATGTTCTTAGCTCATCAATGGTACAACACCTCTTCAAGCTGGTGTACAAATGATATCATATTCTCTGGGCTCATCTTTGGCTTCACGTTTCTCAGGCTGTATATCCCCTTATATTAGGAATCAGATTGGGAATGCTCTTTCGCGCGCCCTATCAAATTTTTACTCAAGCTCTGAAACCTTCAGAACTCGCAACAGGAACAAGTGCGTTCTTCCTTGTCAGATTCATAGGCGCCACAGTTGGTTTAGTAAGCTTCTCTCTTGGATACAACATGTGCAGTGGTGGGTAATATCTTCTACGGCCACCTTTTGCACAGTATCTCAAGCAACTACATTTCAAGCTCGACCATTGATTGGAAGCCTCTCAGATCGGAAGTTTTACAAGGTGTATCAATGGCCATCCAGGTGATCCCGCTCATAAAACAAGCCCCAGTTTCAACTTGCTGACTTCATTAACAGGCCATCTGGACGGTTTGTGTGCCTTGCTTAGGGGGTGCTCTAGTAGTGCGGCACCCTTTCATCTTTCCCCTAAGGGATTGCCAATAACTTAATTGTTTCCTTTAGCTTTCCATATCCCCGCTTGATTTGCCAACTGGGATTGAAACATCTGTCAGACTTCTTCCGCAGCCCAGTCACACCCAATTTTACAAAATACCTTACAGTTTCATTCTTGTTGTTCATATCTCCACAACTGCCTTTGCTGGATAAAGAAAATACTCAAGCGCCAACATTTGGCCAAGTCTGGCGGCTCCAGTTGAATGTGCCAGGCTTTTGTGCTAGGGTTAGGGTTGTTGTGCACTGCTGCGTGCAGCAGGTAGGGTTAGGAGTTGGAGTGGACTTTGTCTTCTCTCCCTTAAGTCTCTGCTATGGAATACTATTCTTAAACTGTACAATTCCTTGTGCTCTCTGCCAAACAGGCAGGCATACTCATTTCCAAACTCTCCAATCCAAACTCTGAGGATGAGCAAGAGCTGCTAGAAAGACTTGTATCTGTAATAAAGTCTTTTGAGGGAGTTAGTGACTGTGCCTCCGGCACTCCTCTGCAAAGGGTGTTTGGGACTCCAGGGTTACTAAGGTGCTGTCTTTCCGCACCCAACCTCTTTCTAATTTTACTGAGGAATACCAATCTACAGGGAGGAAGAAGAAGAAGAGGAAGAAGAAGATCTGGGCATTGGAAAAAGCCCTAGCTGCGCAAAAGGTGGTGCAAAAGAAGAGTTGGTCACGGCGGAGCAGTCACAGGCTGGTAGGGTAGCTAGATCTTTTCAAAAGGCTTGCTGTCACAATGAGGTTCAATGGGCTCCAGCAGGGTTACATACAGCATAAGAGCTAGCATACTCACAAGGTGCAGGGGTCTTAATTGCTGATTTAGCAGGTGCACGCCTGTCTGGAGAAGTGCCTGAACCTGAAGCCATAGTAGAGGGTATCAAATGCTGCACTGGACTATATGCTGATTCCAACAATTCACTTGCTTCCACTGTTACACTTTGCCAGGCTTTTAGAAGAAAAGGTGCTGGAGATAACTTCCTTATGATGATGAGCTATATACAACTTTTTATGAAATGCAAAAGGTATTTTTGCTGTTAGTATCTAAGAAGTAAGATATTGATATTACACAAGTCTTATTTCTCAGACTTCTACATATTCTAATATTACAACACTTCATGAAGGGGAAATAGCAAATCTGGATACTAAGCCTTCTCTTTGTAGGTTCCAAGAGTGGAGAGCTTTTGGGAGTAAATATGGAGCACTTGCTGCTTGTGGATCTGTTTATGTGCTGGCTCTTTTAGCTACTCTGGATTGGAAAATGGAGAGAGTCTCTTACAAGACAGTAAGGGAAGTGGAAGAATATTAAGAGCACCCAAAACCTAGTAAGCCTTTAGAATTTTTAGTCTAGCATAGAGCTTAAAATTGTCTAGATATCATGACTGGAAATGTTGTTATAGAGGTTATTATACCCTACGTCAACAGATTACGGGATTTACTGCCTTTATCACCGCCCAACCTATTCAGTGATACTTATATCCAGTTTCAAGGCCTACAAAAAGTTTATAACTGTATGATACTAGCTGAATCAGATAAGTTATTTGATTGCTTTTTTGCTAATTAAGGGTTTTTCCTTCAAGATTTTGCAAGGTCTAATATAGAAAATCTACAGCAATTTTTACCCCCCTGAACATGATTCTTCTGCTTGGGCTGTTTACCTAATACCTTCTCTCAAACCCCCTCTCCATTTGGGTAGAATTGGGGACCTTGTTTTAGGCAATGCTGGTTTACAGTTATCCAGGTCCAGCTACGCAGAAGATCTTCCCAGAGGTTCAAATGATGGAGTTGATTCAGATCTCTCCTTGTCCACCATTCATTTACAGACGTTCTATGATCCTTCTATTCTTGCCAACACCAGTTATCCCATTCCTTGTAACTATCAAGAAAACATACAATGGACTCAGCATCAAAGGCGTATCATAAAAGATAAAAACATCACTGTGCATAGTACAGAAGAATTAGAACAACTTGTAAGTTTAATTCCACATTACAGCCACTTTCTATCTATACTGATTTAATCTGTAGATCCAGTCATTCTATCCAAACGGTCAGAAAGTGCCTAATTCCTTTATTACTAATCCAGAGGGCACAATTGCCAGGTGAGTTTTATATTTTTGCTTGTTGAATAACAACTTTTAACAAATATGTTTGAAGTAGTGCACTAGATTTGCGCAATGTTGATGACACACTACTAGCCTTTATATGCACTTCTATGCCAAATTATATTAAGAACAAAGCTTGAAGGAAGTGTCTAGCCACTTGCTGAGAGCAATCAGGGACTGGAACTAGAGTCCAATGTGAGTTACTTTATTATTAGAGAGTATGACAGGTATACAGTACCTAGAGTCCAATGTGAGTAACTAGAGAATAGGAAGCATTGGACTCTGCAATACTGTCCGAAGTTTTGTAAACAAAGGTAAACAAAGCAGCCACAAAGGCGAAATAATAGAGAACACAATCAATAGTGAATGATAGAAGAATAGATAGAGAAAGGAATGAAAATATATAGGTAGCACAAAGGTGCAGAATCACCAAAACTAACAAATTATCTGCGTGCCAATCTGCAGGAGCTTTTAAAGCTCTCATTTGATACTGAAGGGATACAGCAACTTATTCACCAGTCTGGTAGTTCTTCTAAAGAGGCAGCACCTTTGCAAAGCCTGCATTTTTCAAGTTATAATTGCTATACTACTAAGGTTAGCTTTTGTTGAAATACTTACAAGTGGTTTTATGCTTATTTTATTTCTTTGTTTAAGGGAAAAGATGCTCCAACCAATGTTCACCCAAGATATCTGGTACAAGAAGATGGTAGAAGGGTAAACTATTCTCAGATGCTCCCATACCCATCAGGAGATATACAGAAATTCCCTAGTCTTTATAACAATCTTCAAAAGGTGTTTTCAGGAGCTTTGTCATGGATAGAAGTATTAGTAAGTTTATTTTACTCTGTAATTTTAACCATCTAAAATTATGGTTATTAGGTTAAGAAATCCCTTCCTGATGAATATGCGACCTTGGCAAAAGTTATAGATATTTTGCCAGGACAGCCAAGATCATCTGTTTCTCCTTGGTTATCCTGGGTGGTTAATATTAATCTTTGCACAGAAGCTCATCGTGACATTGGTGATAGCAATATTTGCTTGATCCTTCCTATTGGTTCCTTTCAAGGAGCTGAGCTTGTGTTATTGGAGCAAGGCCTAGTTGTAGGTGAGAGGAGAGGAGAGTTAGCTATAATCCGTTCAGGAGATACTACTCATTTCAATATGGACTATACAGGGAAAAGAGCTTCTTTTGTGTTCAGTACAGATAGGGCTTTTGATACATGGATAGATGGGTGTAATAGGTGGGAGGAACACCCTTCATTTAATTAATTAACATATTTCTGCTACTAAGCTAACCAATGTTTGCTCTACTTGAGACCAAATATTCAAGGGCCTTTAAAGTAGGGGAGCTAGCTATCTCTCTTCTCTGAAGCCTAACTGATGCTGGTTTCTCTCTAGGAAGTCAGGAGACATTATCTGATGTATTAGTAAGCTACAAAAACCTTGAGGAATTAACTGCTTCTTGGCAGAACCCAAGGCTTCTTCACAGAAGTGGGGTTTCAACAAGAGGAACACGAGGTTTACTAGAGGTTTATTGTTGACAGTTAAGTGTTACATATCTGCCTCATACTCCTGATTTCTCCACAATATATCTATAGGCTTCCACCTATTCTATTTGTGTTTTTTAGAATTTAAAATGGTGAGTTTTCTTCATGGTTTTAAAAGCTTAATATTTGAAATAACATTTTTCTATTTCGTACTCCTAGCATCTGATACAAGGTTTCCACATGGTGCTGTGTACTTGGAGATACAGCATGTGCTCCCAATGTTGCTCCAATAGTAGATGAAAGGCATGATCTTTGTATTCATATGAGATTCATAAGTAAACAAAAAACAAAAGAAAAACAAAAGAGAGCTCTTTCCCAAACCAGTGGCCGAGGTTTTCAGCTTCTGTATCCAAACAGTGTTGTTTTTCTTGACACCTATCTCGCTTCAGCATTGCACAAATGCCATCACGTACATCTGAGTCTTCCAACCAAGGTGGGATATCTTCAGTGGATAGTGTAATCCATACATCCTCTGTAAGACTCTGGTCATTTTGCAACTCATTGAGTTTTGTGGGGAGAGTCGCTGGAAGAGGGATAGCCAATGAAGGATGGTAGAGCTCAGCAAGGTGTTCAAAATATGTATTAAGCTTATGTAGGGCCATCATGAGAGCCAGCTATCTTTTTGAGATAGCCTTGCGGGTCTGCTGATGGAGTTTTGTACCTGGGTGCTCTGGTGAGCATAAGTTTGCGTAAGAAAGAAAGTAGATTACCAAGGGCCTGCTGTAATCCTCCAATGGCACAGTCAAGTTTGTCCCATTCAAAAAAACTACCTATGGCACGCTGGTGGATGTTGTTCTTGAGGTCACAAGCCATTAAAAGTATCCAAATGAACTCTAAATCAAGGCCTTGAGGTTCAGGGAAGCTCTTGTGTATGTTCAAGGATGCATACATAGCAGTTGTGGCAAAGCGGAGGTGTGTTACAACACTGTTTTGGAGGATTTCATACTGGGAATATGTCAATAAGTGGTATTGTACAGAAGCTTGTACCTACTTGGGCTAATGACCTTGCTAAGATGTATCCAATGTCATAGAGCGCTACAATGGTTGTTTGAGATGGCAGTAAAATCAAATCATTGGTTGCTTGTCTCACCTAGCTAGAACACAGGTGGGTAGTTTTTGAGTTGGAAGAGGTCCATCCTCTTGTGTTGCCCATGTACATTGCCGTCCCATTTGCTTGGGTACATTTATCCTTTGTCCATTGTCTTCACTACAGCTACACTTATCACACATTGCCTGGGACACATCTGTTCCAGATTGGAACTATTCCTCTCCCTCCCTTGTTTGACCAGGTGGTCCAATACAACCAGATCATTGGTAAGGCCATGGAACTGTGGGATTTGGACTAGGTGGTGGACCAGTGGCTCCAGTTCTTTTTTTTTCAGCAGAACATTCATTTGCAGTGCAATTGTTCTTGATTTTTGAATCATTTTTATGGACACATTTGTTTAGAATGCCTGACTGACAACAAGGGAACTATGTTGACACTGATATTATTTTTGCCTTGCTTTTTTTTACTGCATCTTCCCATGACATCATGATTTTCTTGCTCTCTTTCTGCTATTGGACTTTATTCTATGGCTGTACAAACCTGTGACATTACATACACAGCATTTATTGTTCTATCCCTTTCTTTTCCTTATATTGATGATTTTATCCTATACTACCTATACAGGATTTGTCAGCATATATTCCTTCCTTTACATTCTTTCTCATTTTTTTTGCACAGCTATACTGTGCATAGCCTCCCTTTCCTTTTACTATACAAACCCCTGTATTCTACCCTTGTAGAAACAAGCAGTGGGAAGTGTTGTGACCCACACTGGATCACAAGCAGCAGTGAGTAGTGAACTTGAGATTAGAGAAGAAGTCTGGATTGGATTTCTTGTTCTACTGTTAACTGTTGTCATTGTCACTTGCCACTACAGAATTCACTGTCATCCCTTTTGATTAGAGTCCTTCTGGGCACTACAATCTGTGTGTCAAAAGCCACCTATCACTGGGAACTGTAAGGACTATTCACTTTTCTATGTCTTGGTTTTCAGACACTTTCCCTATTACACCTCTGGCTTTAGGGCTAGAGGTGTGCTTTGCCATTTTACTTCTCATAGCCTTAACAGGTTTACTCAACCATCAATACCATTTCATATCACAGATCAGAGACTTGATAGCACTCCCAACCAGCTAACACAATGGGTAAGGACTGGTAGTAGAGACCTTGCCAACCAGCTCCACGCCACATTAGTGCCTGGATATATTAATAAACACTTTAGTCAGGATCGTACCTCATCGTGAGGATACAGTTCCTGAACATGTGTAACAATACCTATTGTTAGTATATTTGTATATTTTCCCACCTGCTGATTAATCCTTGAAATCATACAATAGTTGTTATTTGTCTTATTGGTTGGTTTCATCCTCAGACCACCTTTCTATTGTTCCTCTTTCGGTCTGAGAGATAGACAGTTAGTTATCCTACATACTTGTGTATAGTTCTTTAGCTTTTTATTACTTGAATCACCCGCTTTACTCCTCAATAGAAACTATTGAGTTCACTTTAAAAGTCCTCTGCTTGTTATAATCTCTAATATCTGTCAACCTCAAACTCCTTGTACCTCTTACTCCCTGCAAGTGCAGTTGGAGACGGGTATCGTTTTTGTTATAGTTTAACATTGCCTCACAGGAACCTCATCACCTTGTTATTCTCAAACCTACATTGTGCTACAATTAGCAAGGTAGTGCTTGTCCATATTTGTCTACATTTATTCAAAGCCCCTTTCTTCTAACTTCCAACTATTTCTCCTCCTCCAAAATCCACACCCACACATTTCTGGGTTTCACTTTGAAGGATCATTATACATACCACCCCACAAACAACCAGACCACCCGCTGTTCTAGGAGGCAAGCCCATACACAAGTTCTGTGGAATCTGGGAGGATTTTTTGTTAGTTTGTTTTTGTGTGTGGTTTTCTAACAACAGTTCTCATCATCAACAGTGAGGGTGCTGGGATGGACATTGAGAGCAACTGACACGCATGTATGCAGCTGCAACAAACATGTTAGGTGTGATGTGACAAATATCACAAGTCAAACTTTAATGGTGCACAGACCATCAACGGAGTATGAGACTCACCTTTTGGTATTTCTTGATGTTATATACTACAATTCGGCAGCATGATACATTAGTATTAAAAACAATTGCCTGAAAACGGTGGAGAATTGAGTTATATAGAGTGCTCACTATTCAAGACAACAACAACAGACACTGACCTAATATGGATGGATGATGTGGCCCGTTCCGCCTTGGCATGGAGCACATGGTGCCGCCACATGCTATGTCCACATTGAAATCTTCCAAGTGGCCTAAATGGCCAGCATGCACCACCGGTGCTCAGAAATGGGGCTTTAAGGCTTTGTTATGTGGCGCTACCTGGTACAAGGTGCCGCTATAATAAGCCCAGAGTGTGGTAGTGTTGGAATTGTCAAAGTCAAAGCCTGGGCCTTGTTAGACAACATTGTGCAATTGAGTGTTGATATTCAAGGGTTGGTAGCTCAGTTGGTTAGAGCACCGCCATACATAGGCAGGAGGTCCTGGGTTCAATCCCCGGCTGCGTCCAATTTGCTTTTTTGTACTCTCTAAAAAAATACACTGTGGAT